ACGGTGTCCAACGCGGGGCCCACGCTTTACGGGAAGTAGACACATGCCGATTCTGAGCTCGTGTACTTTGTTATTCCTCTTTCCAGATCACAACCTAATGTCCTTGGCATGGTACACTCCGATCGGTCGTCCTTGAAGATCTTCAAGCTCGATTATTGCATTATTGCCGACTGTCCTGACCACCCGAGCTTTTAGGAACTTCCGAGCAAACTTTGCATTGAAGGCCTTTTTGAAATCGCTGGGGGCAAAGTTGTGGCGATACACTTCCTGACCTGGCTTCGCAAGGAAAGTACGAGCCCTTTTGTCGTACCGCAGGCGACTCCGATCGTATGCATCTTCGAGGTTCTTCTGCACCTTGTCATGGATCACTTGGAGTTTATCAACTGTTCTCATCCCAGACATTTCGTGATCACACAGCGACTTCAACTTCCTTGCCAACTTGTAGCTGGCTCCGTTCGGGAACATGTGTCGTCCGAATACGGTGAAGAACGGAGCTTCTCCCGTTGCTGAATGGACCGCGTTGCGGAGGGCCACCTCAATCTCCAGAAGATACGCGTCCCATTCTCGATGGTCTTCTTCTAAGTAGCTTCGGATCGCCGCCAACACGCTTTGGTTTACCCTTTCCGCTGCGTTGCTTTGCAGAGAGTGGACTGGCGTTTTGATGTGCGTGATGCCAAAGCTTTCCATCGCCTCCTCGAAGATCTTGGACGTAAACTGGCGGCCGTTGTCCGAATGCACAATTTCTGGAACCCCAAACTTGTAGAAAACCTCGTGAATGAGGAACTCCACTACATTGGAGGCCGATGCCTCTTGCATGGCTTTCAAAAATGTGTATTTGGAGAAGTGATCCACCACAATGAAGATGTAGGCCTGTCCCTTCTTCGACCTCGGATACTTTCCCAGGAAATCGATGTACAGCTTCTGGAATGGCTGCTCAGTCTGGACTCTCTCACCGATACCAACTTGCATCCGGAAATTCGGGGATTTCGTCTCCTTGCACACTTCACACCTGCGTATGAACTCCCGGACTTGCAGTGCCATGCCAGGCCAGTAAAACTGCCGCCGTAGGTTTCCAGAGTTTTTCCCATTCCGCCATGAGCTGCCGTTGGATCCGAATGTGCACGCTCAATTATGCTGTGGGTCAGACTCTGGGGAATCCACAACTTCCATTCGAAGCCTTCCACCTCGTCATCCAGATTTGCCGAAAAGACTCTCTTGAAGATGAGACCATCCATTATCCTCAAGTCAGGTAGGTTGGCCAAGTTTTTTTCCACCTCTTGTAACAACTCCGTGTACTCTTCTCCAGCAAACTCAGTGGTCTCGAAGCCGAGCAACTCTGACGGGTCCACCGTTAGCTCTTCAACACAACGCAAAAGGGTATCTGCCACAACGTTCTCGCTTCCTTTCCTGTGTTCGATGTTGAAGTCAGCTGTGCTTCTGGACTCAAGGAAAACTTCTTATTTCCCGTCTTCTTCAAGGATTCCGTGAGCGGGGCAGCCAAAGTTGCGAAGTTCTTTATGAACCGACGGTACCAACCAGCGGTCCCAAGAAAGGCTCTCACTTCCTTCATGGTCCTTGGCTCAGGCATCCGCCTAATAGCTGCTACACGCCCTGGATCCATCCGCAGACGTCCTCCACCCACTATGAAGCCGAGGTAGGTCAAAGACTTGAAGCAAAACTTCGACTTGCTCAGCCCAATGGTTAACCCTGCTTCCTTCAGGCATTCAGCGACTCGGCGAAGATACTTCAAGTGCGTTCTTATGTCAGGCGCTAGTATTAGCAGTTCATCCAAGTAGACGAACACATTCGAGCGGATTTCAGCGGGAATTACTCGGTCCATGAGTCTCACCAGCCTCTGTGATGCGTTGCAGAGTCCGAAAGGCATCACACGGAACTGGTAAAGAGGCCGACCAGGAACCGCAAATTCTGTGTATTCCTTGCTGCTCGTGTCCAACTCAATCTGCCAAAAAGCGAACTTCAAATCCACGCTGGAAATGTAGTATGTTTGGTCAATTCTGGACAGGATGCCGTCTATGCTGGGCAACGGGTAAGCATCTTTGATGGTCACATCATTAAGCTTACGTGCGTCTAAGCAGAACCGGTGTTTTCCAGATCTTGATACTACGGTGGTGCGGTTACTCCAGGGGCTTTTGCTCTCCTCGATGACTCCGAGCGCTAGCATCTTGTCGACCTCGTCCTCGACTACCTTCTGCTTCGCGGGAGACATCGGATAGGGTCGATCCTTGACCACTTTGGCTCCGTCCATCAGCTCAATAGTGTGCTTCTCCAGACTGGTGGTACCTCTAGAAAGTCAAGAACTGCTGCTTGATCTCCTCCAGCTCTTGTTCCTCGGCCTTGGAAAGCGTCCAGGTCCTCGGGATCGGGTTTCTCCTCATCATCATCCTCGACCTCCGCGTAGTGTTCCATCTCCCTGGCGTGTAATTCTTCGGCCTTCTTCACGCCTTCCGAATCGATGTGGCCTATAATCGCTGGGGCCAGTCCGAATGCTTGCCAAAAATCCACTCCAAAATAAACTGGCTGCTCCAGGTAAGGACACAAGTAGAAGAGAATGTGCTCTGTCCGTCCTCGGTATTCCACCGGTAACTTGACCCGTCCTATAATTGACCGATCCTCTCCAGAGGCCGTACGGACTGCGGATAAGTACTTCTGGACGGGCACATCCAAGGCCTCGACCAGCTCTCTGCCACCTTTTCCAAGCAGACTCACACTCGCTCCAGTGTCCAAGAACCCCGTCAGTTGCTTGGTCAGAACTCGGACTGCGGCGAACCACTGCTTCGCGTCGGCAGTGCCGACGTTTACGAAATCGGTCCCTGGCCTTTTGCACCTTGCGAGACACCATACGCATCCCGCCTAACTGGTGCTCCGAGAAGATCCTGTTCCTGGTCTCTAGATACCGCCGCATCCTCTCCGCATAAGGTAAGTATCGTAATGCAAACTTATTACTATTTTTAGAAGGTAAACATTTATCTAACCCTACCAGCTCTTCTTCTCTGCGGAACTCCGGTCTGGACGCATCCTCTCCGCCCTCGGATCGCCCAGCCGACCGTTTTCCGCACAATCCGGACATTTGGGAGACACGGTGTCGGGCTTCCCACATCGGTAGCAGAACAGTCTGCGTTCTGTTGCTGCGCAGTCACGGAACCCCTGATCCACGGCTCCGCAATTCCAGCAGCCGGCTCGGAACGGATTTTTAGGCTTCGCCCGCACTTCGTCCACCTCTTGCCACGGAGGATCCTCACCAGGATCTGGGCCAATCGCCTCGCTAACCTTGGCCTTCTCCGCCAGAGGACACCGCATCGGCTGCGTGTACGTGGTCCGTCCACGTCGTCCAAAACTGCGCTCCACCTCGCAGCACTCTTCCCGCAGTTCATCCACCGTGAGCACATCCATCGCGTAGACAAACCTTGCGATGCTCTCCCTCAAGCCCTTTCTAATAATCTTCACCAGCTGCAGCTCTGACAGTGGCCTTTTCAGTCGAGCCGCCAACTGCTGCATCGCATGGATATAATCGCCAACTCCTTCTACGGGCTGCTGCTCCCTCTGCAGAAGTTGGTGCATCCGATCGTGCTCCGTCTGATGGCATCGGAACCTATCCATCAGCGAGGCTCGAAGCTGGGACCACCTGTCCACCCTGCAGTGACGCACGTGCACCCAGTACCACTCCCGAGCCCGCCCAGTGAGCAGCAGGTGGAAGTTTCGGAGCACCTCTTGCCACGGGCATTGGCACTGCCGCTGCAGGAACTCCAACCGGAAGAGAAAATCTTCCACCGAGTTTCGCTCATCCTCCCCGTCGAAGGATACGCCCCACCGCTCAATTCGCCATTGCTGGTTGGCGGCTGCCGGCCCCACATTGGCATACAGACGCGGCTCCTCCCGGAACTCTGAGGCCCTGCGGTCCTCAATGCACCAGCTGCGGGCCGGGCCATCGTCTCGGCGCGACCTGAAATGATCCGGAGGATACCCGGGACTGCTACTTTCCAACTCCTGGAAATCCAGCGGCCTCCTCGTCGGTTTTGGTGGCACCCTCGGCGGTGGTAGCCTGGAACCGTCCCTGCCGGCGACCTGTGTGCTCTTCGGCACCGCACCTTGCGGGGCTTGACCAGGGATTCTCGCGTTGATCCTTGAATCCGGACGCCTTCGCTCATCCGGCATGCTCTCCAGGGGAAGCTGCGGCCGCTGAGCAGCAGGCCTTAACACCTCGTTCATCGGCTTCATCATCTCCAGGAAGCCACTTCGGATCTCGCCTTCTTGGGCCTTCCGATGGGTCTCCGCCGCCTGTGCCAAAGCCACATTAACGGCCGACCTTGCCGCGGAATCCACAAAGGGATCGTGGAGTCTTGCGTCCTTATCGTCCAGCTGCAATAACTCATCCGCCGCGGAACCAATTCCCTCCAGGATCTGCTGCCGCCTTAGGTCCTGCTGCAGCTCTGTGTCCTGTGGTCCTTTTTGCTCTTGTTGCAGTCCCTGGCGCAAACGGGCAAGCGGAGTCCTGGGCAACCCTTCCGATATGCGCGGCAAGCCAGCCTCGGTAGCGCCCTCCACATCCGTGGACCACATCTTTTCGTCGTCCTCGCCTGGAAAACCTTTCGACCGAAGCAGGTGATCATGCTTGCTGCCTTGTCGCTTTGACATCCTGAATTTTGATAACCCCTAACACGACTTCTGAAACCCCGAATTCAACGTGGCCACCAAAAGCCCAAATTATGTATAAATAAATAAATTATACTGAATGCTAGTAAATAATAATAAACAATAAATAAACACCACTAAATAATATGCACCTAAATAATACGAATACTTATATTACCAGGCCAATAAATAATAATAATAAATAAATAGAAACAATAAACCATGAATAGGTAAGAAATAAATAAGAAAACATATTAAAGACCCACAAATACCTAAGGCTAAACAAATTCCACCAAATATTAGCTCTTATCAAAAAACAAGTCCCTCGACTAAATTTCTTTCTCTATTTTTGTTTTTTTTTTTTCAGCCTCAATAAGGGGAGATGTAGCCGATCCCCAGCCGGTAGACTCCGCGCCAGTCGTCTTGCGTCTACAATTTCGTCCGAATTCTCACTAAACAAACCGCTCGTCAACTGGACTAACTTTCAGCTGTGCTGAAAGTCGCCAGTTAAGGACTTCGGCTGTTTGCAGGATCGCATAGGATTTCCTTTTGGACTTTGCGTTTTTCATTCAAGTCGCGGTGGCCGAGCAGCGCAGCGTCACGGGTCACGACCACACATTTAAGTTTTAAACCGATATGATCTGAAAACGCCAATACCCAGAAAACCCAAGGATCTGCACAAAACAAACAACTACACTGTAACCCCAAAACAAGACATTCATTAAAATTACGTTAACAAAAAAAATATGTCCCTAATACCTATATCACAGTTTTATCACCGTTTTTGGTTTAACCTTTCGTGCTTATTGCACGGACGACCTGGGATGCGAATCCTTCGATTTCCTTCGAAGAGGATGTCACCGCCAAATCACAGCTAATCCCTGTGAACTGTGCCTCGGGAGCAATTGTCCTACTTCTAGTGGACACGCCTCCCTTTCTTCCTACAAAATTTAAACAACTTTTCTCCACCAGTCCGCATCCCGGTGCAATTGCATGTGTGTCATGCAAGCCACCGTTCGTGGGCTGGCTGGAGATAATAAATATGCGAGACGCCGTCGACTCGGCTATCACATATTTTATTTGTTAAATTGGGCGCCATATTGTTACGGAACTGCATCTTTCCCGGAGAGCAGCGCCGGCTAGCCACGGAGTCCCAGGGCGGAGTACCCCCTATGCCCTGCAGTCCGAACAATCGATTCCGACTCATCGGACGTCTCACGTCGATTTACCATCTCTACCACAAATCAAAACAAAACAAAGTTATATGTACATCAAGCAAACTAAGACAATTCGACGAAATTGGTGGCTTCGATGTCCTTGCCACGACGCACCCACCCAACCTTGGGTGCCCCAAGAATGATGTGGGAGGCACACCACATCTCCGGCAGACCGGAGTCTATTCCTGGTGGATTAGGATCGGCTCATCTCCCCACCCAAGGTAATTCACACAACCATCTCGGTAGCTTGTTCACATTTAATTCTTGGCAAGATTAATAAGTAAATACATTCATTATTGATTCCTACTGATAGATAATCTATTCTCTTCGTTAGAAACTCTTAAGGCCGATCTCAGACCGTCGCCCAGATTAGAAGCGGTCAAAGCGGCAACAACCGAAAGGGAAATTTTTAGACGCTTAAAATTCCAAGTGTCAGGCAAAGTCGCCGCACGGCACTAAATTGGAGGCGTTTGCCAACCGGGTCGCCTAATCCTGAGGAGCTCCAAGGGAAAAGAAGGGACGTGCTGATAAGGTAAGTACGCTAAACAAATCCCACAAGTTATTAAATTTCGCGACCCAATTTAGATGTAGTTGGACGCGCGGCTAGGGTTCGGGCTTGAGCCTCTAATTTTAGATTAGATTTCACAGTAAGTACTTGACAATCTTGACTGCATGATATCACAAAACAATATCTTAAACTTATTTATTGCAGATTTCAACGTCGGATGTGGTTGAAACTGCAGCCCGAATGGAAAAGCGCTAGCGGCGAAAACCAGCGCGAGTTCGCACGGAGTCAATTGGTCCGGAGGATAGCGCAGCGTGGCCGGAGGCAGTGCGTCGGTGGACTTGGAGATGAGCACGTGGCCAGAGCGGGCATTCGTTCCCGGAACGGACTCACCGAGGGAATCTCCGTATCTGGCCGTCTTGGAGGCAGTCGCTGTAGCTGCTGGCGCTTGAGGCTGCTGCTGCTGCTACTGATCGCTGCTGCTGCGGCTGATGCTGCTGCGGCTAATGCTGCTGCGGCTAATGCTGCTGCGGCTGATGCTGCTGCGGCTAATGCTGCTGCGGCTAATGCTGCTGCTGCTAATGCTGCTGCGCCTAATGCTGCTGCTGCTAATGCTGCTGAAGCCAATGCTGTTGCGGCTAATGCTGCGGCGGCTAATGCTGCGGCGGCTAATGCTGCGGCGCTAATGCTGCGGCGGCTGGTGGACGACGACCAGGTTAGGTCCGCCTGGTAAGTGTTCACTTCCCAAATCTTTTAAATTTCCGGGGCCCTTTAGTTAGGGTCCCCGGCGGCTTCAATATAAAAAAAACACTGTAATTTACAAGTTCCGGACTAATAAATAACCACTCACTTTGAGTTATTCAAACACTAATCACAAACTTAAATTTTGGGTTTTTTTCCGACCGTTCTCCTACTACTTCTTGCAGCAACTAAAGCAAAACCCTGACCTACACCAAAGTCGCTCGCCATTTTCCCTCCCGCTCTCTCAAGATGGGTCAGCGAACGTTAACGAGCGAACCGGGCTAAATTTAAATAGCTAGATCCTCTCCCGCTATCAATAGTCGGTGTCACCACCAAATCTTATCGATAGCGGGACCTGCTGACGTATCGGTTCGTTTCAGTATTTTCCAGACGGCTTCAACTGAAAATGCAACAAAACCATGTGTCGCAGCACGTCCTTGACCTCTGATTTCTGCTTGACGATGTACCCGTATCGAAACCTGGTGAAATCATCCTTAAAAACTACAAGATACCTCTTCTTCTGGAAAGAATCCTCAAATGGGCCGCAAACATCGCCTGACATCAGTTCCCCTGGCTTCATCGCTGGTTTCCTCGTTCCAAATGGCAATCGATTCGCCTTTCCAAGGATGCAAGGCTCGCAAAAGCTACTCTCAAGCTAGACTTGAATGCCCATTTCTCTTTTGAGCATGTCCTCGATGTGGTTCTTGTCCTGATATCCCCACCTCTCGTGATAGAGTTGGATAATTGAAGTTCCTGAAGTTGCGACGTTGACATCGACGTTTCGTTCTGGAAGTATGGGCTCGATCGCTGCTCTGTAGAGTGTTCCTCCAACTTCTCTGGCTCCAATGAGGACAATCTTGTCGTTTATTTTGAGGGTGCACTTGGTTGCTGACGACTCTAAACGACTACTTGGATTATTGTCTTGGGCAGCCAAAACTGAAAACAGGTTCTTAGTTATATTGGGAACAAACCATACATTTTTCAAAGAAAGAAAAAGAATTTTACCATTGACAATTGTTTTGACTTTGATTGTGCCCTGGCCCAAATTTGACAAGGTTTCATTTCCAGCTGCTCTGATCCAACTCGGATTCTCAAACTTCTCAAAATGCTCGAAATACTTCGCAGTCTTCACAACGTGTTTTGTTGCACCGTTGTCTATCCACCAGTCGACCTCTGAGTTTGCCTCTGCTGCAAACACGCTATTGTGGACTGAGACGAGAGTTAACGTTGGTTCTGCACAATTTCCTTGTTCAGCATTCTGGTAGCTCGGCTTCGGACGTCCATCCTTCTTCCATTTTATGCAGTTCCTGATCCAGTGTCCCTTTTTCTTGCAATAGTGGCAGGTATCGAATCTCCGACCAGATGCTCCTGAATCCTGACGATGCTCCTTTTGTGCTGTGGTAGAAAAAGCCTCCTGGCTTTCCTTTTCGTCGTTTTCTTTTGTTCTAAAATTTCTCTCAAACATGACAATTTGATTAGTTAATTCGTCGAAAGTCTTTTCTTCTTCTTTTGTCAAGAGCATCCAACTTTGACGGAACGTTTCAAATGTTTTTGGCAAAATATGTAGCGTTTTACAAACAAGTATTAAATCTGGCAGCTCAGTTTCACTTTTAGCCTTCAAAGCTTGATTTAAATCGTTCCATAGACTACGCAATTTTGCTATGTGGGTTGATACATCGTTACCTGGATTCCAAGAGAAAGCGAAAAACTCGTTGCATATCTTGAATACCTTGTCCTTCGCTGTTGCTTCGAACTGATTTTTCAGGGCTTTCCACGTATCGTGTGCTGTCTCCTTGTCCATGATCTTCTGGTACGCCGAGTCCGTGACCGCAGTGGTAATCATGGATTTTGCATAGCTGTTGGCCTTACGAAAAAAGTCGCTCTTCTCCTTGTGCTTCTTTTCATCTTCTGTTGAGGCACCTTCTGGCAATGGATCCGGGTTGACGATCTTTCCGTCCAACGCGTCGAGAGCACCGTCGTGATAATCTATCAGGTCCCTAATTTTTCTTTTCCAAATCGGCCAATCGGTCGCACCTGAGAGCTTCGTGACGTGCTTCGCAAATCCATCTTAATCGAACAAAATTTAATTTTTTCTTTTACTTTAAACCGAACAAAACGTTCCTGGGCCCATAACCTATTATAACTTTTACTTCTTTAGTTACTTAGGGCAGTAAATAAACGATATTTCTTGAAAATTAAACTCTTGTTTATTTACTCTCTTCGACAGCTTTTTGGTTATGTTCGGCCAGTGTGGCCGCAGGCTGGAAAGCGAAACATACCAAATATGGTATATCTTTTTGAATTTGAAACATATTCTTCAACAGTCCCCACCCAAGGTAACTGACACAAACATTTCGGCAGTTTGTTTACATTTAATTTCGGGTAAGATTAATTATAAAATACATGAAGGTTTAATTCTTACTCATAAACTACTCTTTTCGTTAGCAACACCTAAGGCCGATCCTAGACCGTCACCAAGATAAGGAGTGGTCAAAGCGGCAACAGCTAAAGGGAAATTTTTAGACACTAAAAAATTATAAGTGTTCGGCAAAATCGCGACGGAAATAAATTATACGCCACCTAATCCTGAGGAGCTCCAGGGGAAAAGAAAGGACGTGCTGAAAGGGGTAAGTATGCTAAACAAATCCCATACGTCGTTAAATTTCGCGACCCCATTAAGACATAGTTGGACGCGTGGCCAAGGTGCGGCATTAAGCATCTAATTCCAGATTAGAATTCACAGTGAGTATTTGGCACAATTTTGACTGAATGATTTTATAAATTAATGACTACAATTTATTTATGGCAGAGTTGAAAGTTGGTCATGGTCGAAGCTGCAACAAGAAGGAAGAGACCGCTAGCGGTGGTCCAGCCCAGAGATGACCACGTAGTCAGCGCGGTTATTCGTTCCCGGAACCGACTCACCGAGAGAATCACCGTATGTAGGAGGCAGTTGCTGGAGGCTTTGATGCCGCTGTTGGAGTCTGCCGCTGCCGCTGCTGCTGCTGATGCTGTTACAGATCGCTGCCGATGGTCAGGTGCAGGCAACTTAGACGACGTGGTCTTCACGACCAGGTTAGGTCCGTCAGGTAAGTATTTTCCTTTCACGAGTCCTCTAAATTTCCGGGGCCCTTTCGATAGGGTCCCCGGCGGCTTTAATATTTTTAAAAATCACTGTTATATGATATATATGGAATAAAGTAATTCATTCAAGTGGGAATCGGACTCGAGCCGTTCTCGCACATGACCCAATCAAAATACGCGAAGCGCCATTAACAACCTGCATTTTATGGACACAATGCGCCTATTATGCCCTCTTTCCATACAGTCTATAATTTGAAAACGGTTGGAATTTTCAACATACGTGAAAATCCGATGTCCTTTTTACTCGTCGAAACGTAAACAAAGTCAACAGGTCAACCATCTTTGTATATGTTTTCATGAGCCACAGCTGTTCAGATCAGCTGAAATCGGATGGTGGAAGGTGGATGTGCTCTGTGGAAATCGGAGTTTCAATCAATCTGAGTTTCGCTTTATTTAAAAATCAAATCTGAGTTTCGCTTTATTTAAAAAATTCAACGGTTTTTCAGGGATGGTCTGCGTTGAAACAGGGTTGCATCGCAGAAACATTGGCTTACTATCGCATAAATTAGTCCGTCAAATTTTAATGTTGGACTAACTGGGAAGTTTTTGGAACGGCAAAACCTTATGGACCATCCCTTCAATGGATGGTGGAAGGTGGGTGGATCTCTGTGGAAATAGGCTTTATTGTAATAGAGTGGATGGATATTTGTGGGAAAAGGCAATAATGCCCTTTCCACACAGTCCACTCGTGTGAAACGGCATATGTGAAACTCCGATTTCTACAGGTGATCAGGTGATCTGAACTGCTGTGGCTCGCAAAACATAAACATAATCATCAGGTCAGCCATCTTTGTTTATGCTTTTGTTAGCTACAACTTTTCAAATCATCTATTATCAGGAAGTTTCACTTAATTTTTAAGTATTGAAACGGTGTTGCAGGAACGGACCACGGTGAAAGATGGTTGCCCTGAAAAAAACATTGGCATATCAACGCATTAATTATAGCCTATTCATATTAGCCGCCGTCTACCGTTTACAGTCTACCGTCAGCAACTGTGGCTCGTCAAAACATAAACAAAGATGCTTGACCTGATGACTTTGTTTACGTTTTATCGAGCCACAGCTGTTCAGATCAGCTGAAATTGGAAGACCACTCTGTGGAAATCGAAGTTTCACATATGTTGAATATTCCAACCGTTTCCAGCGAATGGACTGTGTGGAAAAAGGGCATTAAACGGATGGTAAAAGGAGATGGATCTCTGTGGAAATACGCTATTAACAACAAAAAATAAAATATAATATGTTTTAGCTTTCAATACAGCTTTCTTTATACCCCTTTTAATTTACTTAAATTAATTTTAATATTTTTTAACTTTAGTTTTATATCTTTGAATTATTTTAAATTTAGTAGCAGACAATGCAATCGATATATCGATAAAATTTAAAATTGTATTCTTGGTATATATTCCAAGATGGCGGAATGTGCGGAGAAGAAGAGAACAAAAAGCAAGCGAAAAGTTTTTAAGCGTTTATTAAAAAGTATTAATGCATAATTCTATGTATTTGATAATGCCCAGGACACATTCAACGGCAAAGTAATCAATATACAAAAAACTAGAGGACTGCTGCCACGTTGTGCGCCTTCCCTTTGCAGCAAAGCCCACAAACCGACAGCCAAAAAATCGAAATCTTGTAAAGAAAGGCGAAAGGATACTGATTATATTAGTCCTGTCATTTTTGGTTGGTATTCCATTTAATGTTGCGGGGTACCTGAGGTAATTTTTTGCGGTTCTCAGAGCAAACCATTCTGGCAGTCCTCGTAACGTTTTAGGTGTACCGTATTCTGCGCGCCTCTTCAACAGTTAAACAGAAAAAATCTACTTATTTCTCCACCACGCCGTAAGGGTTGTGTGACCCACTTGAACGCACCTGGCTGACTCCCCAAAGCACCTTCAAGGCTTCTGACAGGGTGTTAAAGTCAAACTACCGCCCCAGATCGCAGCAGACTATGTCTGACTTTTTGCGTCACCAAAATCCACAAGAGCACACATAGCCATGGCAGCGACGAGAAAACTACAAGGTAAGCAAACCGAGCTTCCTTTTATATGCAGTCGCACTAACAATTAACTTTTTTTCGTGGCTAGGCGAAATTGATCGATGTTTAAAAAAGGTAGCCGAAGGCGTTGAAACGTTTGAGGATATTTGGAAAAAAGTTCACAATGCGACAAACACCAACCAAAAGGTGAGTTTAATACTAGAACTATCTGAGCTGGCTTAACAAATATGTATTCTGATGTCCTATTTAAATTCTGTCAGCAAAAACACCTGCAGGAGAAGTATGAGGCAGATCTTAAAAAAGAAATTAAAAAGCTTCAGCGATTACGCGACCAGATTAAATCATGGATTGCATCCGCCGAGATAAAGGATAAAAGCGCGCTGCTCGAGAATCGAAGGCTCATTGAAACTGTGGGTTTTTCCTTATTAACTTTATATTTTTAACGAACCGTTCCGAATTATTTGTCTTCCAGCAAATGGAACGTTTTAAGGTGGTTGAACGCGAAACGAAAACAAAGGCTTACTCGAAGGAAGGTTTGGGCGCTGCACAAAAGATGGATCCCGCCCAGCGGATCAAAGATGATGCGCGCAATTGGTTAACCAGCTCAATAAGTTCACTCCAAATACAGATTGACCAGTATGAGAGTGAGATCGAATCGCTGCTGGCAGGTAAAAAGAAACGATTGGATAGAGACAAACAAGAGCGAATGGATGACCTACGAGGGAAGCTGGACCGGCATAAGTTCCATATATCAAAACTGGAAACCCTGCTTAGGCTGCTCGACAACGACGGAGTCGAAGCAGAGCAGGTAAACAAGATCAAAGATGATGTTGAATACTACATTGATTCGTCGCAAGAGCCAGACTTTGAAGAAAATGAATTCATCTACGACGACATTATCGGACTCGACGAAGTGGAGCTAAGCGGCACTGCCACGACGGACAGTAACAACAGCAACGAGACAAGCGGGTCCCCAAGCAGCGTCACTTCCGGCGGCAGTCCGTCACAGTCGCCCGTCACTGTGCAACAGATTTTAAACACCTCGACGCAGGCGTTGACCAGTAGCGGCAGCAGCGCAGCCAGCGCTACACTGTTCCAGCAGCAGCAACAGGCACTGGCACAGTCGAATGGCAACAATATAGGGTATGCGAGCGACACAAGCGCAGCTTCATCATCGGCCACCACATCTACAGATCCAACGGGCAGCACAGCTGTCATTAGCTGCGGAGCAGGTGGTGTTGGTGATAAACGCAACAAGAACAGCGAAAGCAATGCCATCAGCAAATTAAAAGTATGTTCAAAATTTTTGTAAACATTTTTTTTAAATTGTCTATTATGAGTCATGTGATAAATGTTTTATTTTTGGTTTGCAGCCACAACCTCAGCAGCTTATTAAGCCCACACCTCTGCGACCGACGGCCAAGCTGCCTTTGAGTAGTGACGGTAAGTTCCTGCACAATTTTTTCGTCCTTCACTAACTGTGTATTCTTATACAGCTTCAGTCAATAAGATTGTCAGCTCAACTCCCAGTAAAAATCATCTGCACATACCCTCAGCGTCTTCAATCGTCGCGACACCAAGCTTGTCGCAGAACAATAGCACTGGAAACGGAAGTGGCAACTCCACAACGGGAACGGGAGCGGCACAATCGGCATCTAGTAGTCACAATCCTGCGGTACAGCCTCACGCTCCAACGCCTGGCCTCAGCGCGGCTACGTCAGCTGTATTGAATTCCTCTCCGATCGCGAGCAGTGTCACCGTTCAAGGCCCATCTGTGATTCAAGCAACACCAACAATTGCATTTGCTGCAGTGGCAAAACATAGTTCATGTAGGAGGAGGGCTCAATCATACTTATTGTCAATACTTAAAGTGATGTCCTGATTCTAGCACTCCTGGAAAATGGTCCTGCATTGCCGCTACAACAAGCGTTAGCTCCCACGGTGGCATCTATTGTAGGAGCAGGCGCCCAGGCGCAGCAGCAACAGGCGACACACTTATCCAATCTTCAAACTAATTCCTCGCTTGTACTAAATGGTAAGATCGTGTTTATAAATGACAGAGAAATATGAATTAAAATTACCAAATTAAGAAACCGCAATCGAAAAAATGTGATTGCCAAATCAACTCCGTATTTAGCCGCATTCAAACCCACATGCTTTTGGTTTTAAGATATATTTTTTTCTATAAAAAAAAAGAAAACTTAATTCGGCAAGCCGAAGTTTAGACACCCTTGCATCTATTCCTAAATTTTTATATGAGTCAATGTTTAAAACTGTATTGTTTAATTCGGCAAAGGTATTTAAATAATTACAATGATTAAAGTGAATTATAAAATTAAATATTTTAAAAATTAAATCAACAGTATTTTAACGACTTAAAAAATAAAAACAAATGTTTTGTGTACGGCAAAATAATGTCCAATTACCATCGTAAAAAAGCTTAATAAAAAAATAAATAATTTAGAAATTGTTAAACCATTACAATGTCCAAAAGAATTTAAAAACAAAATTTAAAATAAGCTACATTAAATTTAAATTTTATCATTTATTTCCTTTATAACGCTTTGGTGGCTTCAGATAAGTTATATTCCAAATCCATTATGTTCCACAAAAAGATATTAAACTCAAAATGTGTGATACAAAAAATTATACCCCAGCCATAGTAAAATATTCCAAAATTTAATTTTGCCGCAATAATTTTAAATTTTTAATTATACAGTCCATTCAATATATAATTATATCAAATCATAATGAGATAGTGTGAAGGAAGCATACGATACAGGCTCCGAACGCATTGTGGCTGTGGGCGAAAATTCCGAAAACATACATAAGATAAGGTCTGAGAACAAATAGAACAGGGCAACAACCCGCTTTCTGCGAAGAAGCTGTTACATTTAAATGTCAAAACCATAGGCGAAGTTCAGGCCATAGTTTCTATTTCGCCACTTAGTAACGACGTCTTCCGCTTAGCTTTGGATAACCTAACTAAGCTCTTCGAAAACTAGGGGCTGCAGGTCAATTTATTATGCCTAGTGGAAACTTTATTTATCATTATATTAACTGATCGATCGTTACATTTTTCAGGGCTGCCTGTCTCGGACAGTACTTCTGACAACGGCAGCAGTTTCGTCGACACGATTTCCCTAAAAACTATGGCACAGGAAGCCATTGATCGATCCGCGATCGATACTAATTTACAAAATAAGCAGCAAACAATCAACGTTGACACAAGACAGCAGCAATCACTCCTCCAACAGAGTTTTATATCGGAAACCACTGCCAATCAACAGCAGCAGCAAGTGACATCGCAGCATCAACAACAGCAGCTTCAGAATACTACTGTTGCTGCGGCTGCGATCGGTTCGATTGCGGCTCCGGCGAATGCCGCAGTAACCAGTAACGGTCCCTCAACCGGAAGTGGTCTTTTGAATCTTCCGAACGCTGCAGGTCAGCCAAACAGCGGCAATGCCAAAGTGCACTCGTGCCAACACCAGCAAATGCCCACAACGGAAGCACACATTCCAACGCTGCTTGGAGTGACGCCCTTAGGGCCAACACCACTCCAGAAGGAGCATCAAATGCAGTTTCAGATGATGGAGGCCGCCTATTATCACCTGCCACAACCCATGGATACGGAGAAGCTTCAAACATACTTTCATAGAGCACCAGTTCCCACGCCAGCACATTATCCACAGGTTCGTTTTTTTTTTAATAAGGCTTAATTCATGCATGGATTCCTTATATTATATATATTTTAATCAAGGCACAGCTGCCAATATATGATACCGTTGAATTCTATCAACGACTCTCAACGGAGACGCTGTTTTTTGTGTTCTATTACATGGAGGGATCCAAAGCCCAATATCTTGCAGCCAAGGCCCTGAAAAAGCAAAGCTGGCGTTTTCACACCAAGTACATGATGTGGTTTCAAAGACACGAGGAACCCAAAATTATCAACGATGATTACGAACAGGTGAGAAAAACAAATCTTGATAATATGAGCTTGTTATACCCGTTACTCGTAGGGTACATTGAAATCGTTGAAAAGTATGTAACAGGTAGATGGTAGCATATATATATATATATTCCTGATCAGGATCAACAGCCGAGTCGATCTAGCCACTCCCGTCCGTCTGTATGAACGTCGAGATTTGGGCTATGAAATGCAGATACTACTTCTTCTTATGCAGAGCAATTTTTTTAAAACGGAGCCACACGAAAAACTAAGCCACGTCACTCTGAAACATGTAAGACTTTTGGTGTTATTCTCTGCGTGAGTGTGTTTTGGTCCTATCAATCGGTATATAGATAATTTTAGAATTCGAGCTCTTATTTTAGAAGTTATAGGGTAATTAAGTTCTGTATCGCCGCTCTGCCGCTGCTCTGCCGGTAATCGCTCTTAGCTTCTAGTGTTGGAAGTTTGTTGACTGAGTAACGGGTATCTAATAGTCGGGGGAACTCGACTATAGCGTTATTTTTTGTAACTAATAAAGATGAACACCTTTCGCAGGGTACGTACATCTATTTTGACTATGAAAAGTGGAGTCAACGAAAAAAGGAGGGATTTACCTTTGAATACAAGTACTTAGAGGACAAGGAGCTGAATTGAAAATGTTGCAATGTGTGTTGCTTCGTCTGTCTATAAGAAAGTCAAACCATTGAAACAATAAAATAAATCAATACCATTTTCATTCAAAATCACATATACGCAATCATAACACATAACTCAAAAACAAGTAGGAGAGATGTCATCTAAACGAAAATGTGAATAAACAAAAAGAGAGCAAACCAGGCAAAAGAAAAATTTTAAAGAAAATCGAAGTATAAAACTTATTTAGAATGCCTGCATTAAAAAAAAAGGGCATTCCTTGTTTAAACATTCTCGCACAATTTATGAGGATGTTAAAGACCTGAGATTCATCCAAAAATCTTATACATTTGCAAAGCTCTCTCTTTCATAAAATTTTTTTGTGATTCTCCTGAATTCCCAATCCCAATTGTAAAAAAAAAATAGCAGCACACTTTTGATTTATATAAAAACTTTTTTTAAATGATATATGCGGTTTTTATGCATATACAAGAACAACAAACATATTTCAGCTGATCTAATTTTAATTTAAAAATGTAATTACGGTTACTAAGATCATTGATTAAGTTGAGCTAAAGGCAAATAACAAAATTATACAAAAAATAAAACTTTTTTAAGTATAAGAAAACAAAAATATAAAGATGGTTAAATTGAACTTATTCATATCATTTTAACTTAATTTGTTTCCAATATTAAATCTTTTTAAAAGCTTTTTCTGTTCGCAATAGTTGCGGACTTGACTTTAACGATTGATTTTTTTTGTAGTTAACAAACGTTTTAGTATAATGATAAGAGGAAACATTCTTAAGAAAGTTTTGCATTTTAAAATGTTTTTGCGTACACATTTTAAAATTATTAAAAACACATTATATTAAATTATGGAACTTTATTGAATAGTTTACAGTTGAATTAAAAACTAAAGAATAATCAGGGTTAAAAAACAGTATGATTGCGTGCTAGAACTTTACTGTTCCATCCTTGCCGCGCAGATGTCGTCATCATCTTGTTCGTCATGACCCCAACCCTGATCTGCTTTGGCATCTTGATCGTTACTGCTGGCGTTGATTGTAGCTGCAGCAAAACGACTGGTAATCATCTCCGTCGTCTTTCTCCTACTAGTCTTCGTTTCAAAAACGGGCTCCATATCTTTGAAGAAGTCAAACTCATTTAACGCGGAGCTATGAGCCACCGATTGTACTTGTATGTCCAGCGCGCTGAGATCATCCATAAACTCACGATCTGCTTGCGTTGGTTTCTTTGTTTCATGGAATAGGTTTAAGTTGTCTTTGCAAAATGACTCGGATATTGAAGTTTGATTTGCTTGGGCCTTGTTGGTCCCCAAATCATGTACAGTCTGTTCATCTGGAGTTGCATGTTCGTTTAGTTTGGAATGTTTGATGTGTAAGCCTTGGAGCTCATCTGTAGTATCCCAATCCGACCAAACTCCATCTTCTTCCAGGTTGACTATGGTTTTTTCATGGCCTTCTGCAGATACGTTTGAGTTGGTCTCGGTGTCGAATTTGTGGCAGAAAGCACGCGACTTTTCATTTAAAATTAAACCACCCTTCTCGTCTTCCCCACCGTCTGGACTAAGGCGAAGCGATAAGGGAGCAACTTTGCTTTCGGTTGGTAAGGGACTCCCAGAGACCATGAAATCTTCGTCCACGTCAAAGGAACTAGTGTTTATTAGGGGGGTAATGGACCGAGGCTCTGGCATGCAATTTTGGCTAACTGCGGACACAATAGGATGCGGCCGACCATCTGAAAAGCATCGTCGCCGATCCTCCCCGCCCAAAACTTTATTAGCTCCCAGTATGGAAACTAAGTCAGCCATGCACCTAAGCGTTTGGGCCACCAAAACGTCGTTAGTGTCGCTCATTCCAAGCTGTAAATGGGGGATAATCTCACTTTGAAGTTGTGCGTCGCCCAAGAGACTGACAAAGTCAATAAAATACTCCAGTAATATTAATCGGATCTGAGCATCACGCAGGCGAAACATCTTGAGTATGTGAGGCATTAAGTATTGAACGTAGGTCTGCTGAGAAAACAAACACGCCGTCGCTTTGTCTGATATCTTCGTACGGAGTACATACGGAGTGACGAATTGCTGTGCGGCAGGATCCAGCAAAACCATTCTAGAAAGCAGGTGACAACCCAGCTGCGAAGCAACCACTTCCTCGTCGAAGCATCGCAGGCGTTCAATCAAACTTCCAAAGAACTGCTGGCGTTCTTGCACCGACTTAAGCGGCAATTCGAAGAGAAAGGAATGTATAAGCACGAATTCGTGGTTGAAATAAGGATGTAGCAGTATGGCCGAAAGGGTGGGTCTTAGCTTAGTGTTTTGGTGCTTTAAGTGAGTCCTGCAATACTCATGGAACTCCATTACATGCGGAGTGTCCTTACCATCACCACTTTCTCTTTTACTTACATCCAGCACCTGCTCACAAAGAACGGCAAAGGAGAACTGTTCACTGTTCTCTCCGGTGATGTTTGAATCCAAAAAGGAACGGGCCAAGTTAAGAAGCTGTTTGTCGACCTCCGTCGCTTTCCAAACGTATTCGAAACCAGCCAGTCTCCAGCTGCCATTGTCCGTAACATAAATTGAATTCGTACTTATGTTCAAATGCCTGGCCATAGCCTTCTCAATTAAAAATATTAAGCTGCACAGGATCGTCCGCAGGCCAAGGCAGATTTCAATGTTGGTCTGCTGGGCCAGTACCTCGTTAAGAGGTCTGACCTTCTCCGTCGCAAGATGCTTATGCCCTGCCTGGTCCCAGGTAGCTATATATTTCAATATGTATGGATGGCGGTAGACCATTAGGTTCTAGAGGGATACATTTGGTAAGCAGTTGATTTTTTGTTTACTATAAATATACTTTTATTGCCCTTCCTATTGGGTCCGTTTCACGGGACCACAGCTGACCCTTGACGGAAACTTCGCCTCGGAATACCGACAGCACCTGGCTGCAGCCTTCATCATTGGATGCCCTTGGTAGCTGTGCGTTATAGAGCGTCCAAAAATCATTAGCCTCTACTGGACTTTTTTCTATAATTAAACCTTTTAGTTTGCTGCCTTCATTACCCATTGCACCTTGACAAAATTCCGCCGGTGTTACCAGGGTTTTAAATTTTTTTTGCCAATGCTTTTCGGCAAGAAATTAAACATGAATGATTTTTACATCAAATTTTGGAATTTTGTGCGTCAAATTAGCGTCGTTGACTTAGCGGCGATAGTGGATCGATGGAAAATGAAATACAGGACGGTTTTTCTATTTTTAATATCTAGTAAGATAAGCACCACATCATGCAAATGTTTCAAATTTACATTTGAAAAATCGGCTACCGACATCCTGTGCCTTTTTCGACAACGACTCTGGTTCGAAGAAGATGACCCACATATAAATTCACCCCTAGTTTTAGTGCTACACGGAAAAATCATCGGTTATGGGGTATTTCCACAGAGATCTAACCACTTTCCACCATACGTTGAAGGGATGGTCCATACGGTTTTGCCGTTCCAAAAACTTCCCAGTTAGTTCGCCGTTAGAATCTGACGGACTTTGACGAACTAATTTATGCCGATGTTACTGTGGTGTAACCCTCTTTCTACGCAGTCCATCCCTGAAAAACCGTTGGGATTTTTGAAAAAAGTGTAACTTCGGTTGCCACAGAGCACATCTCCCTTCCGATTTCAGCTGATCTTTAAAACTGTAGCTCATCAAAACATAAACAAAGATGGGTGACCTGTTGACTGTGCAGATCAGCTGAAATCGGCAGGACGAAGGTGAATGTGCTCTGTGGAAATCGGAGTTTCACATTTGTTGAAAATTCCAACCGTTTCCAACGGATGGATTGTGTGAAATTAAAATTAAAATGGGACTATTAAATTGTACACTGTTTTTCTCTGTCTTAAAAAAAATACAACAATTAAACATAAATAAATAAAAATCGGCATATTTAAAATTTTACATACTTGTTTTGGTGCCTTCAATTTTATAATATTTCCTTGTCATCATTGTTTACGTTCTCTCCGTCAATGCTTTATTTTTCAATCAAATTTTTCAAATTTAGAGTTGCACCGAAAAAACATCGCTTACTAAAGCATCGTAAAATTTTGACTAACTGGGACAATTTCGGAACAGCAAAACTTTACAAACCATACGTATAACGGGTGGATCTATGTAGATCTAAGTAGCCACACCCAATAAATAGTTTAGGGACCACCCATGGCTAGTATATATTATATTTTAAAAACTGTTCGTATGTCTTAAAACATTTTCGAAGCCACATGAGCAAATTGAAAAATAATATGTGCCATTTGCTTATGGGGTTATGACACTACATTCATTGCTCATTTTTGGTTTTAACTATGTGATTAAGTGCGAGAGTCCGACAGAGTTGAACAAATAAAGTCCTTCGACGAGGAACCGTGGGCTCAGAAGATGAGTGGTTTTGAATTTATATTTTCGAAAGATTAAAATTAAGTCATCCTTGCGTATAACTACGAGCTGTTGTAGTGGTGGCACTAATGGTCTTATGACATTACATTGCGAGCAAGAAAACCTATGACGATTCCAATTAGCAATGAATGAAGAAAATTGTCAGAACCGATACCCGATAGTAAATATATGAACCGGATTTTGGTTTCTAAATTGCATGCGATGAAATACCACCGGGGCTGATACATCAATGAGCAAAATTGTATGTTTTTAAAAATTGTATTTTTAAAAAAATACAATTTTGTATTTAAAAAAAATTCAATTTTGTATTTTTAAATGAATACAATTTTGCTCATTGATTGGAGTTGACGACAAAAGGGAATGAAAAAGCGAGACTTAAAAGTAAATTAAATAATTTTTACCATTTATAGGTAACAGAAATTAGCGGGATAACAACAATATAATAAACAAAACAATAAAGTTGTAAATTAATGTTAAAAAGGCAGTGTGGCCGTGAACTTATTACCAAAAAAAATCGCAAGTAGTATCCATATAGTTGTCTCTTTCACTGAGCTTCAATGAATCTGTCAATAAGTGAGCGAACAATCTAATGTGATTCCCGTGTAAGAAATGAATAGCTAACCCTTTTAACCAGTATTTGATTAAATTTTCTCTGTTTTAGCACCTTTCTCCATGAGGTTTTGCCGTTCCAAAAATTTCCCGTTCAGTCCGCCGTTAAAAAATTTACGGACTTATATATGCTATAGTTAGTTTATGTAATTTTCGGTGCAACCCTCTTCCTAAGTAGTTAATCCGTGAAAAACCGTTGGGACTTCTGAAATGCGTTAAACTTCGATTTCCTCAGAGCACATCCACTACCCCCTTCCGATGGCAGCCAATCTGAACAGCTGTGGCTCAATAAATTAGAAACATAGATGGTTGACTTGTTGACTTTTTTTATGTTTTGACAAGCCACAGCTGTTCAGATCAGCTGTTATAAGAAGGTTCATGGTGGATGTGTTCTGTGGGAATCGTAGTTTTTCATTTGTTACAAATACCAACCGCTAGACTATTACAAAAATCTGGCTTTAACAGTTTGAACACATAAATGGGTTATACCACAAGCGCAATAAAAACCATAAGTGCGAGGCCAGCTCCATACATTAACAATTAAGATTACTCTTATTCGCTTATTCTCATTGGCGCATTAGTGAACTTTTAAGCTAATGCTACTCCGACATGTGAGTGGCCCGAATAGCTGATCTGGGCTTGTTTACTTTTGAAATTTCGCAAATCAAAAATTCAAAATCATGAATATGAGCGAGTTAAGGGATATCTTTAATGCCCAAGAGGACATGCATTATGCGGGAGGGGCATTTGCCCACTTGAACGTCAAGGAAGCTGATGGTGTTGTTTTACGTGTTTGCAAAGCAGACCAATGCAGTTTCTAAAAAAGTCCAATGATCCCCGTATATGTAAGAGTTTTTTATGAAAACTTCGTTCTCACTAGAACGAATATAGTTTATTCGCTGGCGAAACTGTTTAGTGATCTGAGCACTAGGCTTACTAGACTTTAACATTTATGTGAGTTATTTTTTGTTTTAATACACAAGTGGAAAATATATGAAAACAGAATTCATTTCCAATTCCATCGATTCTTTTTAAACGCTTCCCGACCGTTTCTAATTCGATGGTCATCTGTATATAATGATAATTATTTTTATTTGATCGTTATCGGCGCGGTCACACTGATGTACAGGCGTATTCCAAACCAGGACTGAAAGATTTATTTTCTAAAGTAAAATAGATGGATCTATATGACGATATAGATACGAAGCAACGAGCGGGCGAGATTGATGGCTGGTCGTCTGGCATTAAAATGTTACAGACCCAGCTGGCCGTAAAGAAAGCCGTCAAAAAACCTGTGAGTGGCGTCAACGATTCTCGCCTCTTTTATCTTATCAATTTATTCACTACAGCTAATGACGCCGGTGGTCAATTTAAGAGCCAAGCGCCCCGTCGAGCCAGAATCATCATTTTTTGCCTCAATGCCAGTGGTGGTGGTCAAGCCCATAATCACTGGTAAAGCTCTACTTCCCGTGTTGGAAAGTGCGAGCAAGGACGACTGGGACTTCGCGGACGAGTATGACCCCCAGTGGCCGAATGAATACGAAAAACTCAAAGAGAACTCTAAGAGCAGTGAGAAGTCCCGAGCTATCACCGGCGGCGGAGGAAGCCATCGAGAAGATCGCGATAAGGACCGGGAACGGGAGAGGAAACGAGGGCGCATAGGTCGTCGGGAAGTCCACAAAGACGATGTCTTACCGCCAAATATGAAGTTTAGCGGCTTCGGCCAGCTACAGAGCGCTGATGACTTGTACAGTCCGCCGGCAGTGGGCTCTGTTGCAAAGCAGGGAGGGGGTGCCGCTATCGCTCCTCCTCCTTCACTCCAAGAGATGTCAATAGAAAGTGAAGATGGATCCTCCAACGTTACTGCACCATACTCTGCAAGCTCGGTTGCAGCTAAAATTATGGCCAAATACGGCTTTAAGGATGGCCAAGGCTTGGGAAAGTCTGAGCAGGGTATGTCAATAGCCCTGCAAGTGGAAAAGACTTCCAAACGGTGCGGTCGTATCATACACGAGAAAGACGTCTTTCTGCCGCCTTCGTCCTTGTCGCCACCTGCGATTGGCTCTCCAACTAGACTAAGTCCCAGTGACAACGGGATGCCACCACCCCCATTAGCACCCCAAGCCGCTCTTAGCGGCGATACTGAGCCCAGCATCACAGAAATCATGAAATCGCCAAGCAAGGTTGTTCTTCTTCGCAATATGGTCGGCCCTGGGGACGTTGATGAGGAGTTGGAGCCAGAGGTGAAGGACGAGTGCAACACAAAATACGGGACAGTGAACAGCGTAATTATACACGAAGCGTTCGGAACTGTGCCAGAAGATGCAGTAAAGATATTTGTGGAGTTTAAGCGAATCGAAAGTGCTATTAAAGGTAGCTATTTTTTGATTTAATTTGTAACAATTTTCTTATTCTTTGTTTTTTAGCTGTTGTGGACTTAAATGGCCGCTTTTTTGGAGGCCGTCAAGTGAGAGCGGGGTTTTATAACTATGATAAGTTTAAATGTTTTCAATTAAATTAGCATTCATAAAAATTACGAATGAGGGTGTTAGCCCAGTTTAGAGAAGGCCTTGGAACAAACATTTGATTTTGGTCAAATTAATTTTCACTGCCGCTTAATAGTGTTTATTAAATTAAACATTTTTGGGCTGTACCTCCGAAAAGCCTTAACGCCCGACCATTTTCAAATTATCAGGATTCAGGTCAATGTGTGTGACGAAACCGATTTCTTGAAAAAATAACGGTAAATACTGTTTTTTTTTAAATTTTTTTTTTAAATACCCTTTATGAAAAACACATACAAACAAAAGTTGAAGATCTAATTGAAATACACATTTCATGTTTTGTGACTCAAACATGGAGTTCACTAACGCCGAAATTGCAAATTTCCTTCCTAAAAGGCAAATCCGCTAGAGAATCGTTCCGTAAGATTAGTGGTGTTTTGGGAGATGGCACTCTATCACTTCGAACCGCAGAGGAATGGTTTCGACGATTCAGAGCCGGTGAAAACGACACCACCGACAAGCCAGTCGGCGGAAGACCTGTGCCGCTGAATACCGATTAAATCATGGAATATATCGAGTTAGAACGGCATGTTGCAACTCGTGACATCGCCCAGGAGATGGCAGTTAATCACTCAACCATTTAAACCATCTGCAGACGGCTGGATACAGAAAGAAGCTTGATGTTTGGGTGCTGCATAATTTGACGCAAAAAAGCCTTATGGCGTCAAATTATGCGGCACCCAAACATCAAGGCAACCAAATCAACGCCTGCGATGTGCTGCTGAAACGGATCGAACTCGACCCATTCTTGATGGCAGGCGACGAAAAAATGACCACCTACGAAAATATCAAGCGAAAACGTTCGTGGTCGAAGGCCGGTGAACCGTGCCAAACAGTGGCCGAGCCGGGATTGACGGCCAGGAAGGTTTTGCTGTATGTTTTACTGGGATTGGAAGGGAATCATCCACTATGAGCTGCTCCCATATGGCCAGACGCTTAATTTTACAATCCACTGCGAACAACTGGACCGCTTGAAGCTGGTGATCGACCAGAAGAGTCTAGAATTGGCCAAAAAGAAGGGTGTAGTGTTCCAACAGCACAACGACAGACCACACACTTTGTTGCGGACTCGTCATAAGCAACGGGAGCTCGGATGGGAGCTCCACCTGTTCCTGTCCATGGCGAACGGTGTAAATTTGAACTGAAAAGAGGCTGTCCGAATTCTTTGCAAATAAGTATTATTAAGTTGCCATCTAGGTGAAAACAGATTAGAACAAGAAAGCAAAAAAGCTGAAGGGAGATATTTGGCAACCTTATATTTAACGAGATATTGACCAAAATAGTTTGCTTTTTGTAGCGTCTGCATACAGCATTGGATGCATTGGCTTCTCCAAGATGACGTGGATTTTCTGAACCCCAAATGCGACAGTTTTGCTTATTAGCATAACCACCGAGGTGGTTATTTTACACATTTTTTCGGTAAAAAATGTGTTTTAAAATTGGGTCTACCGAATGGGCTACTGTAAAGCCAGCCGAGGCCGCCATATTAACGAAGTGGTGTTTGATACCTAAACCGCAGTGTTGAAGCTATCCAATAAAAACAAAAAAATTTAAAAATATATGCTCGTTTATTTATAGCGTTTTCAAAACGCAAATCTTTCGTGGGCCACCCTGTAGAAGTAAACAACCCTAAAAAGAAGAAAACACAAAATTCCAAGTTTCCGCCAACAAAATGGTTATTTACGCAAAACTAAATACAATTTTAACATTCACAAGAGGAAAGTTTTTCATCTGCTTTTAATTCATAATTCATGGTGACCACCCGATCTCGTGCATAGGTATGAAAATATTGAATAACTTTGGAAAAAAACAAAAATTCATGGCAAATGTATGTTTATTTAGATTGATCCTTTACAATTAATTTAAGTTTGTTTTTGAACACAATTATCGTCTAAGTGACTACCTATGTTCTTGACGGCAAAAACTCCATGGTTTCGTTTGTTGTGTGACAGGGCCCCGTCCTGCTGAAACCAGAAGTTATCTATACCCTTTCGACGCATTTTCGGGCACACAATGTGCGCCAGCATCCACCGATATCGCTTGCCTTTGACTGTTTCCCCATTTGTGAAGAAGTAATGGTCGATGATGGTTGAGCCACAAATATCCGCCCAAACTGTCGCACTCTTGTCGTGAAATGGTTCCTTATGAATGATGTTAGGATTCTCAGTGCCCCAGATGCGGCAGTTCGGTTTATTGAAGCCACCAGACAGGGTGAACAGCAGGTCATCAAAATTTCATGCCAAAAATTTATTGGATTGTAGCAACATATAGTGAGTCTTGTATCAGTGGAAGAACGTGTCGAGAATGGTTCGTGAAATTCAAAAATGGTGATTATGACGTGGAAGACAAGGATCGGCCGGGTCCCGTGAAAAAGTTTGAAGATGCAGCTTTGGAGACTCTGTTGGATGAAAATTCTTGTCAGACACAACAAGAATCCATCACAGGAGCTCTCTATTTTGAATAATCAGTATGTAGCTATTTTTACGCAATAAAGCCTTAAACTATGAAAAAAACGGCGGTTTTCTACTTGTACACCTAATAGCTCAGTTTCGAGAATCTGGGCTACTTTACGGGCGAAGGCCAACCGCCGCGGCTGGTCTTGGGTTATCTGTATTTTGTACGGAACATTCCCCAATCCTTCAAAATACGCCGCATCGTTGTATCACTATCGTTTAAAAGCTGCGAACGCCGCCGGTACAATACGGTGGGGTCGTCCTCGACACTATCATGTACAGCTGCTATGACGTGGGCGCTTGTGTGGCTCACGGTTCGCCATTAAACCGTGTTTAAAAAATTTGTTTGCCATATGTCGAATAGTATTGTCGGAAGAGGCTTTTTTGTCTCTGTACTTTCGTGGATACGTAAGCTGCGTTCTCACTATTAAACGCGCATTTTTGATAAACAAAGTCACCACTTCTATACGTTCTTTTGGTGTTAAGTTATCCATGGTTCAAATTGTACTGAATTGACGTTTCCAGAACGCACCTAAACAAGCCAAACGCTTCACTAATAGCTTCGCTATTCATTGTTTCTACACGGAAGCTCGACAGCGAGTTCCAGCAACTTTGTTCAGTCACCTTCTAGCACATGTATTTTTTATAGCCTAGTACTCAGACCGACGAAAACGGGATGCCGCCTGTGAGAGAAAACGAGAGGAAAATAACCGGCGGACACAGACAGTGCCTTTTTGCACGTCGGTTACTAAGATCGACGGAAAAAATACTAGAAATGTGCAGAGCATTGCCAGACGTCTGGGATGAACTCTCGATGAATGTTTGTCAGAACCTGGCGAAAAGAATACAACATTTATATATTTTGGTGTTGTTGGATTTGAACTTGCAAGCGATATGGAGGGAAAAACGACAAAAACAGGAAAAAGTCGCGCATCTGAAACCATTCCAAAGCCAAATTTAACTCTAGCGTCGTTTATATTCAACATATTCGATGTGGTTTTCTCAAATTAATTTGTTTGTCAACAAGCCCAGCTGATTGACAGTATGACCGAAGCAAACGATCTCGGGTGAATCGAAAAACTTCGGTCTCACTGAAGAGAATAAAGTTTGTCGATCTGAGTACTAGGCTTATGCAAGAAAATGCCGCTGAGGCGGAATTCGGTCGCTGCAGCAGAAAAGCCACCTATCTGAATACGCTATAAGCCATAATTTTGAATCAAGCGCCGATCTGGCAACATCACATAGTTCGGTATGAGGAAACTTACTCAACGCTTATCGAAATATTTGTGATTGGTATCGATATATGATCGTATTCGTAAATTTTATCAAAATGCACCATATATATGCAATAAAAATTACAAAAAAAAAAATATCATATGACAAAAATCTCGCGATATATTTATATACGAAATAAATCAAAAATTACGCCATCCTGGCATGTAAAAACAAGCTGTTGTATTGGTGGCACTAATAATATATAGTTGGGTATCAGTACTTTTTCGGATTTTTATTCCCTTTTTGAATCTAATTTTTTTTTTAATGCCGTGTTACCGCCAACGGAATCTACGATTTATGTGTTTTTATAGCCAGATTGCATTGCCTTATTAGGGCACTTTTTAAATGTGTCTGATTAAATTGGCACATTAGAATTTAGCTAATGCTACTCCGACATCTGAGTGGCACAAACAGCTGATCTGGGCTTGTTTACTTTTGAATTTTCGGAAATCAAAACGACATGAATTCAAAATCATGAATATGAGTTTACGAGTTTACGGATATCTTTAACATCCATAATGCGACCGAGGCATTTGTCCACTTGGACGTGAAGGAACGTGAAGGACGTGGAACTAACAAACTATCGTTGAAAATAGGTATTTTCCGGTATTTTTTCTGAAATTGTTTGGGGCAAATGATTTTTAATCGCATTTATTTTAAATGCGGCGTTTAGCCTTTTGGGATTCCCTGTGTAAATAAATGCGCTAATGGAATCAGGCTATAGGTAAATGCACATTAGGCTAAATGCGTTTTAATGCGCCAATGGAATCATGCTATTAAAGCCGACTGTAGAAATTGGTTTTGATGTGTTACGATTAATTCGTATTAACAATTATTTGTGCTCAACCAAAAATGGAATAAAATAACAAAAGTAAGTAAAATCCATAACACTGTTTATGTATGTACATATGTACATATGTTATCGGTGAAATTTAAAGCGAAGCAGAATCGTATCTTATCCGCTGCCGATGCATGGGTGGACCTGAAGTATGGATTACTTATCTCTGGCAATTGGACATTGGCTAGTTATACAATAATGAAAGTTGCTGGACTTTTGAGCAGTTCGAGCCTGGCGTTCGAAATAACCACAACAGTAGGCAGAATCGTATTCAAACATGGTTGCATTGAGCACAAAGTAAGTACTTCTGCCCGTCCCTCACTTCGTCTTCTACCAAATGTCAGTAGCCAATGCGATGGCAAGTAAAAACGGCACTGAAAGTGATCAAGGCCGTCTGAATCAAATGCTGACCGCTCTGGGCTTTAATTATAGCAGCCGCCGGGAGGACCAGCCAGTAACTAACATCCTCGATGACAAGCGGATCTTTCCAGAGTTCCGCGGCGGACCTTTGGACGAGTACCGTCAGCGAGCGAGTTTCTGCTACAAGCGCATGAGTGTTCTGCTCGAGGGCGAGGAGCACATCCGGCTGAAGGTAATCACCAAATTCAGTAAGCAGCGCGGGCGGTGGGTTCGAAGTGCAGACATCTTTGTGTATTGCCATTGGTGTTGCACGCAACAATCTAATCGCGCAGCGCTTAATTGCGCCTTAAGTAATCCGTTTACATGTCGCTTCGCCCTTAGCACAAAGTTTGGCAGTGGATGGAGCAGCACCCCGACTTCCAGAGGGAGCCAGAGGACTCAACCCTGGAACGCGTCCGCGAGCTGGCCAACAAGCGCCAGCATCTTCTCTGGGAGCAACAGTTTTACGGCGTCAACGAGGTGGGATGCGTCAGATACAGCTAAGAGACGAAGCTATTTAATCTTGTTGTACTTTTAGTACTTGGGATCGCCGCACCTACTTTTGGCTTTCGGTCAGGCCATCTTTAGCTATGACTTCAGCACCTCGGTTAAGTTTGGCCTGTCAACGGGCATGTTCCCAAGCACCCTGGTCTCGAACGGATCTGGCCGCCTTGGCAAGTATGTGGCCAAAATTGCCGACAACCGCATTCTAGGAGCCTACGCCCTTACTGAGATATCTCACGGCACCAATGCACTTGGCATGCGCACCCGGGCCACCTACGACATAAAAAGAAAGGAGTTCATTATCCACACGCCGGACTTTGAAGCGGCCAAGTGTTGGGTCGGCAACCTGGGTAAGACCTGCACCCACGCCATTGTTTACGCACAGTTGTTCGTTCCTGACAACAAGCATCAGGGCTTGCAGGCCTTCCTTATTCCCATAAGGGACGAGCGTACTTTGCTACCCTTTCCCGGCGTTACAGTCGGTGACATGGGCGAGAAGATCGGTCTAAACGGCATCGACAACGGGCAAGTTACCTCACTTATATGTATTAAAGAGCAGAAATAAATTCGGCTTCTGTCATTGCAGCTTTGTAATGTTTAACCAGTATCGTATCCCAAAAGCTAATCTGCTTTCCAAAACCGGCGACATCGATGAGCAGGGCAACTACACCAGTCAAATTAAGGACGAGCGTAAGCGACTTGGAGCCTCTCTAGGTGCCCTCTCCGCGGGCAGGGTCAACATCACTGCTATTACGTACGTTGCTTTGAGCAAGGCGGTAACAATCGCCACCCGCTATGGGGCCAGCAGGCGGCAGTTTGGCCCTTCTAATAGCCCTGCGGAGTGGCCCGTAATTGAGTACCAATCTCAGCAATACCGGCTTATTCCCCACTTGGCCACCGCGATCGCACTGCGTGTTGTTACGCTCTGGGTAGGCAAGGAAAACGTAGATTTGACCATGAAGGGCTTCACCGGTGAGGACACGTCGCAGGCGGGCATGGAGATCCACGCCATTTCTTCGGCTCTTAAGCCGGTGGCTACATGGGCAGCGAGGGATGGCATCCAGGTAAGCTGATCAAATGTTTTTAAACTAGCCGGTTTTACGGAAATATCGGGGAGATATATAATAATTTTTTATTCATGATTTCGTTCCAAGTTAGTTTCATGTTTCTTTTTCATATCTGCTTCATCCACTCTTAAATTTTTCGGGTGCTTATAGATATATTCCAAGCGTTGTCACGTTTCACTTCCGAAGGATTCACACAAATTCGAATTTCCCAGACCAGTTCCAGTTTTCACTTCCGAAGGATTCACCCGGAATCTAAATTCCCTCTGCTAATTCTCTGTTAACTTCCGTAAAAATCTCACGGAAACTTTGCGTCAAGCAATTGGCTGGCGGATTCAATTTCACAAGAACAGCAATTAATTGATTTAAAATAAGTTAAAGTTCAGATGATATTTATACCCTTGCAGAGGGTATTATAATTTCAGTCAGAAGTTTGCAACGCAGTGAAGCAGACGTTTCCGACCCTATAAAGTATATATATTCTTGATCAGCATCACTAGTAGAGTCGATCTAGCCATGTCCGTCTGTCCGTCCGTCTGTCCGTCTGTCCGTCTGTCAGTCTGTCCGTCTGTCCGTCTGTCCGTCCGTTTATATGCAAACTAGTCTCTCAGTTTTAAAGCTATCTGCATGAAACTTTCCCAAAAGTTGTCTTTCTATTGCAGGTAGTATATAAGTCGGAACGAGCCGGATCGGACGACTATAGCATATAGCTCCCATAGGAACAATCGGAAAAATAATTGAAAAAAAATTATAACTTTGCTGTTTTTTAATTTTTTGTTTTGTTCTTCGACATAAAGCAATGGTTAAATATTTCAGAATTATGGTTAAAATTTCATCAAAATCGGACGACTATAGCATATAGCTCCCATAGGAACAATCGGAAAAATAATTGAAAAAAATTGTAACTTTGCTGTTTTTTAATTTTTTGTTTAGTTCTTCGACATACTGCAATGGTTAAATATTTCAGAATTATGGTTAAAATTTCATCAAAATCGGACGACTATAGCATATAGCTCCCATAGGAACAATCGGAAAAATAATTGAAAAAAAATTATAACTTTGCTGTTTTTTAATTTTTTTTTTAGTTCTTCGACATACAGCAATGGTTAAATATTTCAGAATTATGGTTTAAATTTCATCAAAATCGGACGACTATATCATATAGCTCCCATACAAATAATAAAAATATATAAAAGAACAATCAAATAATTAAGCTGCAAATCGTCATAGCTTCAATGTTTTTAAACATATTCGCAAGTAAATCATAATTTTAATGTTTTCAAAAATATTTAATTCTAGCGATAGCTGCAAGGGTATATGAACTTCGGCTTGCCGAAGTTTGCTTTCTTTCTTGTTTTTCTTTATTCTGTGGTTCAACCCTATAACGGCACATTTACTAATGAAGAATTTTTTTTTCCCGATCTCTACAAGGACCGAAATCAAGTCACGTCAACCACGCAACGATTTTTTTGATTACCCCGATTTACAGGCTTGTATCTCGGCGAACATAAATTTATTTTATTATTTTTTTATCAGGTTTCTAGATTAAAATACCCCTTTAATTCGAAAGTAAAATGATTTGTAGTATGTAGTAGCTGTTTTGTGGTGTTTTTGAAAAATTTCTGTTGGTCTGAGTTGTGATTTTACACCGAACAAACAAAAAAGGTAGCGGAAGCTTATATTGCAGGTATTAAAAAAAAATAAAATTACCATAAAATGGTCAAAATGGTGTTTTTAAACTTGGTAAGCCCAATAACTCGAAAACGCCTCAATCAATTGCTCTGAAATTTTATCACGAGTTTCTTAAATATATTTTTAGTATTTAATCGAAGATTTTTCTCACTGTTAAATATTTTTTTATAAACAAATTAAAGTCAAAATTTTGGTAAAAATCAATTTTTTTTTTTTTAAAACTTAAATTTGATAATTTACTAGATTTAAGTCTTTTTTCAGAGAAACTCTCGGAGATCATCTGTAGCTTCTTTCCAAATAAATATTGATACTAAGTCTAATATATATTAAATATACTAAATACTAAACTAACTTCTAACTATACACACTATTATTTTTTTTAATTGAATCTCTTGACTCGGGTTGGTAAAATACTCGTCGGTTATTTACTTGCTTGGATCCGATGCGCCGTTGAAAAGTTGTTCAAAAAAGACTTTTTAAGTATATCTCAAAACGAACATTTTTGAGCATCTGTCGGTTTTACAAAATTTTACGGACTTGTTTTAGAATCCTGGACAAAGTGTTGTTTTGTGTTGGGCAGGTCGTTAGAAAAAAAGTTAATTTAACGACTTTTTGAAAAACTAGCTTATTTAGCGTAGAATAGCTTAAATTGGTAAACTTAGCTTTGCTACAACTTCTAAGTTAGTAAAGCACACAGTATTAACAAATTGGCTCCAAATAAAATAGTTTAAAATTTTTTTTATTTTTATTTATTTATTTTGTTTTTTTTTTATTTATTTAAAAAACGGCCTTAACGATTTTTGTACGATTTTGTGAGTATATGTATAGCCCTTGAGATTTCTCATGTCTTGAAATTGAAAGTTATTAAGCAACAAAAACGACAACTTTTTTCGAGCTCAGAGTAAAAAATATATCACCAATTATGCGAAATAAAGGTTAGAAGATAAGAAAGAAGTTTATACACCCTTGCAGCTATTGGAACAATTAAATATACTTTAACATAATTTCATTTATGTGCATTTATTGAAAACAGTAAAGCTTTGAAGGTTTTCCGCTGAATTATTTGGAAGCTTTATGATATTGTTGTCCAATTTTAATAATATTAAAACCCTTATTCTAAAATAATAAACCATTACTATAATAATTATAAAAGCTTTAATTTTTTTTTTTTAAACAGTGGGAGCTATATGAGATAGTCGTCCGATCTTAACAAAATAAAAACCGTAGTTTCAGAAATACTAAATATTTAATGTACCTCATGGAATTTAATATTTACAATATGGAAAAATAGCTAAGATTAAATTTTATATCGTTTATGGGTCCTTAAAAAAATGTGGTTAAAACCTTGTACACAGAAGACTTAGTTTGACAATGTATAATATAGTCGTTCGATTCAGTCCGCTTCGACTTATATAATACTTGTAATAGAATAAAGACTTTTGGAAAAGATTCATCAAATAGCCTTAAAACTAAGAGACTAGTTTGCGTAGAAAACGGACGGACAGATGGACGGACAGACGGAAATGGCTAGATTGACTCTGCTAGTGATCCTGATCAAGAATATATATATTTTATAGGGTCGGAGATGTCTCCTTCACTGCGTTGCAAACTTCTGACTGAAATTATAATACCCTCTGCAAGGCTATAAATATTACTGTTTATGCAAGTTTATTTTAACTTTTATTTAAATCATTTAATGTAATAACGTCAGTCTTATGGCACCCTTAAATTAAAATTGGTTTTTTGGTAAAAATTTTAGCTCGTTTGTCACGGGTTGCAATCATGCTAGATAGGTAAAATGTTGTATTTTCATACTTTTTTGCTTTTATAAAAAAATAAAAAAGTATGCATTTTAAAATGTAAAAAACCATTTATTTCGTCTTATTAGGGACATTGTGGTAAATGTACAAATCAACAGAATTACTTAGGGCTATGCACCTATAACAGTATTACATATATACCACTGGGTCCACTGGGTAAGGACCAAAACTTCATAAACGCTATCGTAAACAATAGTTAAGCGAAACTTAAACGTGGTTGGTTATAAATTTTTATAAGACAATGTTTTTGATATCTTTTTTTTGATATTTGATATTTTTTGATATCTACCCGACTTAGATATTGTGTTATAGAAATTTCGAGTTTTCACTTCGATTTATGTGTTAGAATAGAGATCAATGAAACCAAAACATAAAAAAACATAACATTGACAAAAAAAAAAAAAACAAAACAATAAAATTAACTGTTTTGCTAGGCTGGTATTTGAACCCGGCACCTGTATGGCTACCCAACGTTTGATGTACAGTGCATTTAAACACTGAGCTATCAAGAGTGAAATCTCGCGAAATATTGCAAACGGGATCAAAAGTGAGCATCAGCTGGACATAAAGGTGAAATAATATGACCCCGTTTGACATTTACCGAGACTTCAGTCTACGCTCGTTGATTTGTATCATTTTAAGTTCGTTTAGGAACAGTTTACGAAAGTTTTGTTTTTTCTATCATATTTGTGTCTACTAGGTAGGGCTACAATATAATATACTAATGATTGCTTGGGGCTGCTACAATATTTTTGCTTTGAAGAATATTTAATTTTTGAAATAGCTGCAAGGGTATACAAGCTTCGACTTGCCAAAGTTTGCTTCTTTTCTTGTTTTTTTTTTTTTAATGCCATACCCCGTTTAATCATTTTAAAATTTTATTAGGCTAAAAGAAGTTGTAGCCTATTTTTATGAACTTTTTGTCCCTTAATCTTGCTATTAGCTATTATCTTTATATCTCATCCAATTTATGACCTGTTTCTTTTCTAAATAAAACCTTACCTCCTTAAAAGTTTACTTTCATTGGGATTAAATGTCTTGATGGGGTCGGTTTAAAACAGTAAACGAAATGTTGGAGCAAACTTCCCAATCAGTTTTTGTATTCGGTAAAGGTTTTAACATATCTTTCTACTTTACCGACTGTCAGGATATGGTGTGCGGTTGATCTAATGTTGGTAATTTTTAGGTTTTTGCACCGTTGACCGTACTTTATAATAAAAAAATTGAATTGTACCTTTTGCTACAGTACTTGCATTCATGTCTGGTATTGATACGGCTTCAAGTTATTTCGTTAAGTCACGTATTATGTAATTGGGTACTCAGTTCCTTGCTTTTATTTTATTTTTGCAGTAGTTGAGTAGTAGTAGTATTTATTTTTGCTAGTGTTTTCCTTCTTCTTTGGGCTCGTCATGTGACGTAGACAGAATTACTTCCGGATCGTACAAATATGGGAGCTATCGGAAAAAATAAATAAAACTTGGCTGGTTTCAATTATTTAAGATATTGTGGCTGAACATTTAAGAATAACGGTTTTAAATTAGAAAGAAGACGGGATAATTTATCAAATAGTTACAATTGAACCAATATCAAAAATATAAAAATGTATGAGAAAAAATTATATTAAATTATAACTTTGTTGTTTTTCAATTTTTTTGATATTTAGATATTAATTTTAAGGGTTTTAGTTTCATTAAAATCTGACAACTATGAGCCTTATGGAGAATAAATAAAAAAATTGTACTTATTTTATAACATTTAACATTTTTTTCAATAGATTTGGATATATTTCTATACGAATTCAGAATTAGGATTTTAAATTTATTAAAATCGGACACGAGGTAATATAGCTGCCATAGGAGCGATCAAGTAAATTATGGGAATATAGGAATATATGAATATGATATTATTGTTTTTAAATACATATATTTCATTTTTGGAATAGCTCCAGGGGTACATAATCTTGGGCTTGCCGAAAATAAATCTCACTGTTGCATAAGTTTTTTCCAAAGCATTTTCGTAAAAAAAAATTGACCGTGGTTATTTTAACTAAACGTGTTAAAAGTCTAGCGAATTGTAAAAGGTATTGGTTTTGACTAATCAAACACAAGCAAAATCCCTTGATGCTTTACACTTACACTTTACACTGATACTTGTGAAGTGATTGTTGACTTGAAAAACTCACAGCTGGTGAAACAATTCCTGTTTAAATTGCGGGGAAAACAACGTGATGTATTAATATTAGTTTTTGCGTGCCAGAATGGTTATTTAATACTGGTGCCAAGGTAGTTAACAAAGTTTGGCTGGTTACAGAAGGCATTATTAAAAGGGTATTCAGGGAAACTATTATTATTGCCTTTATATTTAGTAATAACTTATTAATATCATATTTAAATAAATAATGCAAAACCTCAAAAATATTTTTTAAAAATTAAATTTATATTTGACAATCTTATGTTCAGGAGTGCCGTGAGGCCTGTGGGGGACATGGCTACCTAAAGTCTTCTGGCTTAGGTGACCTCCGAAACGACAACGATGCAAACTGCACTTATGAGGGCGAGAACAATACGCTTATCCAGCAAGCATCCAATTGGTTAATCAGTCTACGACGCAATAACGCCGATTTCGTGGCCGTCTCTCCGTTGGAAACAGTGTCCTTTCTCAAGGATATGGATGACTTACTGCAAAGCAAGGCCCAGGAGCGCACGCCTGCCGAATCCATGAATGCGCTTAGTGAGTATGGCTTAAGTTATTAAACATAATACAAATATTGATACAGTTGAGTACAACCTTTATAATGAAAGCGATTTCGCGGACCACACAAAATAGCTACTTAAAAATTTATTGATTAGGATTCTTCCAAAACATAATGCAAGCTTAGTTTAAAAGCTAGAAAAACCCGCAAGTGTCTTTATATATGTGAACGCAGATCTTGTTTAAAAACGCTGTTGATTGGACGTCTATTTTCCATACATGTCATAAAAACGATCAGGTCAATGTAAAGTTTTCTATTTTTATAGACATTTTTTTACTTCTCTATTATAGCTATGGTATTAAGATATAATTTTTTAAGAAGTAGTTTTTATTGGTACACCGATCATGCTAAAGCCGATCTGACGCCGATATCTTATGTCTATCGCGGCACCGAAAATTTAAAAAATTTTGTGGTAACAAAGAATTATTTGAGTTTACTAAAGCTCTGTCTTGCTAAAAAGATGGTGTTAGACCCAGTATGTTGTCTTTATCCCATTGCCTTCGTATTTCTGATTTACGTACTGTTATTATCAATTTTCCGTATGAGTTCAAGGGTATTAAAACTTAAGCTTGTAAAAGTTCTTTTTAACGGTACAATTCTAACACTTATAATTTACAAACGACAAGTTTTTAGAAACAATAGGTTTAAATTACCTAATAAACAATTCAATTCTAATTATAATATAGTTAAAGTTAATTCTTGTATGTGTGCAATTTGTTTTGTCTTAAACTGCGTGGCAGTTTATCGTTTGGAAGTTGGTTCAATAAGCTTATTGCGTCAATAAATTATTACCGTTCAAAAATCTGGGATCTTTATACCCTTGCAGAGGGTATTATAATTTCAGTCAGAAGTTTGCAACGCAGTGAAGGAGACGTCTCCGACCCTATAAAGTATATATATTCTTGATCAGCATCACTAGGCGAGTCGATCTAGCCATGTCCGTCAGTCCGTCCGTCTGACGGACGGACGCGTTTCTACGCAAACTAGTCTCTCAGTTTTAAAGCTATCTGCATGAAACTTTCCCAAAAGTTGTCTTTCTATTGCAGGTAGTATATAAGTCGGATCGAGCCGGATCGGACGACTATAGCATATGGGAGCTATATATAGGAACAATTGAAAAAATAAATAAAAAATATTATAACTTTGGTGTTTTTAAATGTAATAGTGTTTTTAAATGATATAGTAATGGTTAAATATTTCAGAATTACGGTTTAAATTTCATCAAAATCGGACGACTATAGCATATAGCTCCCATAGGAAAAATCATAAAAAAAAATTTTAAAAATTATACCTGGTGTTTTTTAATTTTTTTTTTAGTTCTTCAAGATAAAGTAATGATTAAATATTTCAGAATTACGGTTTAAATTTCATCAAAATCGGACCACTATGGCATATAGTTCCCATAGGAACAATCCTATAGCTGCCATAGGAACTATCGAATAATTAAGCTTTAAACATACACGCAAGTAAATCATAATTTGAACGTTTTAAAGAGTATTTAGTTTTTTAAGTAGCTGCAAGGGTATACGAACTTCGGCTTGCCTAAGTTTGCTTCCTTTCTTGTTTTGAATAATAATGTTTGCTCTTCGCGAAGCTAGAATAGTTTTGTTCTCTAGTGAAAATTACTTTTAATAATTAAATTAGCACTCTCATTTTCCTCCAGTCTGCCAAATGGAGTTCAAATATTTTGTGCGAAATCTAGCAACATGTTCAAATCGGTGCAGATTAAAAATAAATCTTTTAATACTGTTGTAGACCAATTTAACTTTGTGTTGGCTGATTAAATAACAGTTTGCAAATATTTTCATTCCATAGGTAAGCGTTTGGATCAGGCAGGATATGGCAAGCAATTAATATATGTTTGTGAGCAGAAATTTTTTAACATTGGTCTTTCCAACAGCTTTTTCGAGGTACTCAATAGGCATGTTATTTAGAACTACTAAAGGTTGGCTTATATGGACAAGTTCGTTATTACATATATTTACACAACCATTTATCAGACGACGCCTCACATTCATCAGTATATGATCTGCGTACATATGAACTTTACAAATAGAAAACACGGAGGCAAGGTCATAAAGAGTGAACAACAACGGACCAAGAACGGAACCTTGAGGCATATCACGTCCTGTAGTCAAGTAGTACTAAAAACTTCACATAGGACTTATCAGCATATTCGATATTTTCAGGATTTATGAAGTGTACTGCGGTTTTTTCCGAATCCGAATTGACAATTATTTAGAGGTGCATTTTCATGCACAAATAATTTGGGCTGTCATTATGTTTTCAAAGGCCTTTGATAAATAAGGCAGGATAGCAATGGGCCTATATTCTTTATTTGCCTTAAGAATGGGTACAATTTGAGCGATTTTCCAATAGTTTGGAAACTTAGACGTTTTAAAGGCAGTGTTGTAAATATGAGTAATAAATCGCACAATTTTCGGAAGCAATAAATTTATAAATTTGTGGTTATATCGTCAAGTCCAACTGACAAGCACTTTTTACTGACTGACACACAGAAATCTAAACCTTTTTTCAAACAGCTCTTCCGGAAATCTTTTTCAGCTTATAAATCAATCTGCAAAAAAGGAAAGTTGTGAAGTTTTCCCCGATCTGAAAACTTACGCAACCAGAACAGGGTGAGATCCACCAAATCACAGCCGCAAAAATCCCTTTGTGGAAAGGCGCTTTATTTTCGCACTCCAAGCACCCCTCTGCTAGTCGGAGGAGGCAGGGCCTAGGGGGTTAATCCCGCGCTTTCCACATCGAAGTTCTTTGTTGCTGTTTTTCCACTGCCTATAGTTTTCCTGCCTTACTCTCCCCAAACCAGCAAACGACCCAAGCTATTAAGCTGATAGTGTTGAGTGACTCTGCTGATTAAAAAAAAACCCCTCCCGCCAAGGCGAAATAGTTTGGAAATACGTCGGCAGGCAACTAGAGGAAAAGGCAAGGATCCCATTGCCACCCAACCCCACCGCTTAGCGGCGTCTGGTAAAAAAGGGGCACTGGGGACCGATCATGGACGGTGAAAGCTCCATGGGGCGCCGGAAGGAAATTTCTCGGTCACCGGGAGATCTATACCGTTTGTATTACCAATTAAGGAGTCGAAGGCAGGGTTAGCGGGAAGAGGCGCAACAACGAGGCCTTCCAATGGACGCCACGGCGGAAATCGGCTGCCTCCAGGCGTTCGACAAGTGACCAAAGGTTGGTCGAACACCCCCACCATCAGCGGCGCCGGTTCTGGCGAGGGACAAGTTCCCATTTGAGCGGGTTGGCGAAAGCGAGACGCCAAAAAGGAGCAGGGATACTAAGAGCCCTTCAAGCCCCGAGAAGCAGGCAAAGAAGACTAAGTGCCAAAAGTGAGAATAGTGTATAGTGAAGAAGCCGGCAGTTCGCAACATCAATCAGTGCATGAAAGATACTTTGATGAGCATCAAGGAAATCCAGCTTTAATGTATATAAATATATATAAGATTGGAGGAGGCAGAGGCTGCAAAAGGGCGATCGGCCACGCACACAACGTCGGATTTGGCGGCTTACAGCCAAGTGGTTAGGGAGGCAAACCAGGGCCAGAGACAACAAAGTCTTCTTTGCTGGAGATTAGGGCGCGTCCGAGATTGTCCGGGCAGACGGCTCCGCGCAATGCGGATGGACTGATCAAAAGAGTCCGCCCTGACGCCCTTGCTATATATAGCTGGGCAGAAGGCCACTCATACAACGAATTTGTCAACAAGGTAACGAGGAGAGAGGACAGGTGCAACTGCCGGGTTCGGGAAAGATCGGGCAAACGGCGCTGTTATAAGTGTCTGGAGTTTGGGCATATAGCGGTGCAAGAGTGGAGTAGATCGCAGCGACTGTGATCTAAAGTGCTGCAAACCGGGGCATCACAAGATGCCCTATGAGTAAAAAACCGTCAGAAAAGTGAAGATCCTGCAAGTCAACATAAACCACTGCGGTGCCGCTCATGATCTACTAAAGCAGACTGTGCGTGAAATCCAAGCCGATGTGACGATAATCGGCTCGCTGATTACAAAAAGACTCCTGGGCCGGACTACGTACTGGATACTACGAAGTCTGCGGCTATCTTAACGATTGGGTCATCCCGGCCACATCACTTGCGAGCCGGTTCGTTTTTCATTCGAGCTACGGTGAACGAGGTTTCCATCTACAGCTGCTACCTGCCACCACGCCTCTCTTTTCAGGAGTTCGCGGAAGTTTGGACGAACTGGTGGACGACGCAAGGGGAGGCGAAACGTAATCATCGCTGGCGATTTTAACGCGTGGACCGTGGAGTGGGGTCTGCACGAAAGCCACACTTAAAGCCATTGCGTCACTTGACGTAGCTATACTAATTCCGGATCGGATCACACATTTAGCAGAGTAGGAGCCGGCTCCGTTGTGGACCTTACATTCTGCAGAAGCTCACTTTTTTCACAAGCCCGATGGCGCCTCAGTGAAACCTACACTGCAAGCGACCACAAGGCCATCATCTGCGACATAGCGTGCGGTCGGCTAGCTACAGCTGCCCCAACAAACAGACGCTTTAATCCAAAGACGTTCCAGTAGGACGCGTTTCTCAGAGGATGAATAGATCCTGAAACGGTTGAGCACGCGGAAAGCAGCTCGGCTCATCTTATGGGAGCCATGGTGACGGCATGCAGAGCCAGCATGAGGGAAACAAGGAGCCACCATCGGAATCTAGAACCAGTTTTCTGGTGGACTGGGGAAATAGCGGAAGCGCGCAGCGACTGTCTGAGTGCCAGAAGTCGGCAGCATAGGGTGAGAGGTCGTCCAAATCTCGAGCTTAGGAGGCAGGAGTACGCCGAGAGCCGCAGGACTCTAAAAAAACTTATTAAGCAATCCAAGAAGAAGTGCTTTCTGGAACTTCGAGACTCAGCTGAGTAGGAGAAGCTTCCCACATAAAGACGATCGTAGAGCACCTAAATCCAACAGTGGCAAACGTTCCACTGCGCGCAGACCACACCACCGATCAGAATCCAGTCGGATGAAATCAGGAAGGTAGCCAGGGATATTCCCTCAAGGAAAGCACCAGGTCCGGACGGAATCCCAGATACTGCTGTGAAGCTAGCCATGATCGAGCACCCAGAAGTTTTCGCCAACGCCTTTAATCATTGTCTAGCGGAAAATACCTTCCCGGAGCGGTGAAAGATTCAAAAGGTGGTTCTGCTACCTAAGCCGAACAAAGCACCGGAGGACCCGTCTTTATACAGGCAAATATGCCTGATTGACCACACAGGCAAGGCACTGGAACGATGCATCAGTCACAGACTGCAAGCGGCAATTTCAGCAGCCGGGGACCTGTCACCCATGCATTTGCGATATCAGCAAATGCATTATATCGTAATTATAAATATTGCAACGTGGCCGGTACAAGAATCCAATTTTCTTTGTTGTAAATATATTTAAAATTTCTTCAACAACTGGAGCGGAGAACGCAAGAGCCCATCTGTGGTGACTCGTCAAAAGCTTCGAAACCTTTTTGGGATGTTTTAATGCATCCACCTCATAGTTCAGACATCGCCCCAAGTGATTATGATTGTTTTCGGCTATGCAAAATTTTGCTATGGGCAAAAATTAAGTTTGTTCACGCCAAGTAGGCGTATTTTAATTTCTGGCAGTGTAGAGCGCCAGTTCATCCAGATGTCTCCATTAACTGTCGCTCTCCCGCTCCAACTCTGCCCCAAGTCTCCGCTCTACTCAGGGGCGCATTAGCTATCAAAGATATTGAGAATTATAAGTGGGGCACCATGGTACATACGGAATAAAAATATACACTAGAGTTTGTGGATGAATTCGTACGGATAACAACCATATTGGAATTTTTGGGTACATTTTTACGTAATCGTAGTTTATTATTTCTAGAAAATTTCTAGCATGAATATTGTAGAAGGGACCCAAAATAATTTATTAGTTAATTAGTGGGGAACTGAACAGTATATATGCTTACACTGACGCACTGATGGATTTTTTGATCGTTTCCTAATTATAATGGATAGTTAAAATTAATCGGTAAAAATTAAGGAATATATTTTTTATATTGTAAAAAAAAATTATTGTGGGCCCTTGATCCACTTTGCGCTTGTTGGAAACTTTGGAAGCTGGAGGACGTCCGCAAGAAATGTGCGAACGCACAGCAAAGGGAGATACAGAAAGTATCTTAGTACCTATAGTACACAGCTCAGTGGATTGTCTGTTATGTCACTGGGAAACTGGGCCAAGCTCAAGAAGATAAAAAAAATCGAGCTCAAGTATCCTATATGGAGCAACGCTCTCCAAACAGCAAACGATAGCCACTGTGGAAAACTAAATCAGGCATATGTCTACAGATGGAAAGTGAATAGTCTTTACATACACAGACATTAGATTGGGCTCGCAGCAACGAAGAGAGGGCAAAATCATTTGCCGCCCATCTAGAAAACGTATACAAAGCAATTCCAGCAACGAATATCTTTGTGCTTTTATAATAAACAATCCTTAAGCTATCGTATTTCAATCAAAAGAAATAACAAGAGTCAAAGAGTCTAAAAAAGCGCCGGGCCACGATTTCATCTCCCCTAAAATGATTATAGAATGGCCGTGCTGTGCAGCAAGTTTTGCTCACCACAATATTTAACAACATGATGAAATGGGGCTAATACTTCCACAGAAACCCCATAAAAAATGTACGTCATATCTACAGGAAAGAAACTTCATTTTGAATATCATTCCATTGAAGCTGTACTACCCCAAGGTAGCGTGCTTGTACCGACACTGTAGATCTACTGACAATCAGTCTTACAACAACATCAACATTTGCTGATGATCTAAGTTCCCTGCAACAGCAACGCAAAACTCTTCAGCTCATCTTGTGCTTTTGGAAAAATGCCGATTGGCGCATACATGTAAACGAGAAAAAGTGGAAACGCGTCTCTTTTACTCTAAACAGCTTGCCCTTTTCTATCATTAAAATGACATCTATCATTAAATAACAAATAACTTTTGTACAATGCAGTCCGTTTTCAGGTGTAAATTTTTTTCGAACATAGGGATTTTATTTATATTTATTATGTTCATAGCAACTTTGACATCAAAGCCCTTTTCATAAGGTCCGGCTATTATCTTGTCCATAGGGACTGTTTATTTTATTCATTTACTAATCGCTTGTAATCCTTTGCTATTTTAAATTTGGTTGGTTGATAATCTATTTATCCGGTGTCGAGATACTTGGCCACTGATTGATAATTTTGTTCATTTATATGTAATTAAAGTCTCTTTTATGTTACCCCCTTTTCTGGACGCAACTAAGAATTTGTTTACGCCAATTTGATCTGAAATTTTTTTGTTACCAATTTAAAAAACGGAGTTCGTCCATTAAGAGCGGAGAAGAGCACACTTTTTATTAATTTATTTATTGTAATTCTTATCCTAGCGCTACAAGACAAGCCTTATATAATAATGGAACTAGTCACTCTACTTAGCTACATTCACAGAGAGGAAAAAATTGGTATTTACTTTTTTTTATCCTAAATAAGTGTGAACAATTGACTAGATTTGCTTATAATAGTAAAAATATAATTATTTATGTTATTTTTTTTTTTTTAGTAGTCAAATTATTATTAGGTTAATATTATAATATTATTAGAATTTGTATTATTTTTTTATATTTTTTATATATTTTTTTTTTGTTTTGTTATTTTAGTTTAGTTTAGTGTCCTTAAAGATATTTTAAGATTTCGTTCGTAAAAGTACGTGTGCTTGTGTTATTCTTTAATGAGTTTGGAAGACTATTCCATAGACGGATAGCCGATACGAAGAAATGACGTTCAGAAACTAGGGTCTTGATTCGTGGACAAATAATTTTGTCTGTTCGTCGGGAAGAAGCTATGTAGGTTTATTTTTCAAGCAAATAAATTGGCTCAAGAGTTTCACCAGTTGTTTTAATTATGTGATTGTTGCATGTCAGTTTGTTGTTGAGGGTAATGCCTAAATTGTTTGCATTGTAAACGTATTCAATGGGAACACCGTTAATCACTAAATAAGGCCATGTTTTTAATTCAATCAATTTCTTGTAGATAACAACACACTTAAATTTTCTAGAATTAAGACTGAGGCAATTATCACTATGTGTTGGTTGAGATAAGTTTACATAAGCAAAAACAATACATTCAAAGATTTCTTTAATACTTTTTTCTTTTATAATATTTTCATTGAGGTAACCAGTGATTATTTCATCTGTATACGTCATTGATAATCCAGAAACCACAGTAATGAGTAATCAATATTTTTGCTTTTTTTTATAAATGATGAATCAAATTGCTGTTCAATATGCTCGCCACATAAGATGTCATCATTCCCAGAAAATGTCAAGTGGACCATTCAATTGCCTGCTTACCTTTTTTTAACATCATCGCTTCTTTAAATATATTGTAGTTTTCTTTGATAAGCTGTTCGTTGACGCAGACAGGGGCGGCGGAGCTGAATCCTAGCATGTGTAGGTTAAGTTGTTGTTTGCGCTTGCACCGATAGAACGCAGCAAGGGCACTCTATCCCCCGTTTTTTCCATCCGCAGTAGAATTGGTGGGTCTACATTTCAAGGCTGCTTTCTACGAGCCCGAAAACTGTTTGTAATATTAAGCGGCGGTTTGAGGTTGAGTGCAAAGCACTTTGTGTTGAAAATAAGTTTGATGTTTTCCGTGATGACGCCGTGAGTCCGCAGCTCACAAGCAGTATCAGCGCGCTGACGCGCCGCCAGTTTCATCTCCAATGCCGCAACACGACCGCCAGTTTCATATCCAATGCAGCAACACGACCGTCAAGTGCCTGTAGATCCGCAACTTGATCTTCTGGAGCCTACACTTTCCCATTGAGCTCATTAACAATTCCGGTAACTTCATCAATCCGGTTTATTATATTGTCCAGGATACGTTTTTTTGACTGGCTCAGGTTATCGTTTACTAATTTTGTCTTCTCAACGAATTTAGGGTTTAATAATTCCTCTAAGTTAAGGAAGGATGTATCAGATCATGTCCAGAGAGTTCTCGCTTACGTTTAGAAATCGGTGGTGCCATTTAGAGTTTTATCAACGGTAGCGTAACTGTTGAGTCAACCTTGAACTCTCTTAGACTCCGAAGATGATGCCGCAGAGATTCACTCCTACTAAGGGTGCTAGCACTAGTTGTTAATTTCAACAATTTTCTTAGTTTCAGATTTACGACGTTTACTTTGTTTATGAGCACCAGGTTGTGTTAACCGCGAGTAGTGCAGGTATCACTTTAAACGGTTTCACACTATCTTAAAATTTTGAAATGTTATATATCCTGAAAATTCCTTCAGTTTGTAGAGCGTTTAAAAAAGCGATATCTTATACTTATAATGCTCGCAAATAATATGTTTGAGTCATTTGAACGTGGAAACTTGACAATGTGTGTATGCCGGCAGCGGTCTTATACTGTTCGTTTGGTATTCTGCTGCTAATCAGCATTAGATCAGGATCCAGGTCTCAGCAGCTCTGTCGGGGACGATGAATTTTTCAGAATGATAGCAATTGTTTTACTTTTGCATGTTTGACAAACGACTGGTAAAGTTTATGTCCTCATAAATTTAAATTTGTTACCTGAGTAACGGCTACCTAATAATCGGAGAACTCGACTACTGTGTTACCTCTTGTTTTTTTCCTGGTATAGATAGGACTAGGTAGATTATAAAAGCGAGTTATGAGTTGAGTCACTTAAATCAAAAATGTGCCCGACATGATTTACTTGCTGCAGGACTTTACAATATTTACCCAATACCCGTTTTACCCTTCGACAAAGGGCTATCAACTATATTTAAGCGCTTTAAACAAAATCATACAAATTTAGTGGAAATAATCAACCATCTTTCTGTTTGCCGTTACTTAAAAATATGTTATATTCTATAGATTACACTTTACCCTTTTGTAGATCTTCTAAAGGCTCTTAACTGGCTGACCGCCTGGCAGCTGGAGACGACTGTCAAGCGGGTCGAGCAACAGCAGCGTGAGGGAAAAGATGCGTTTGAAACACGTAACAATATCCAAGTCTTTGCTGCCCAGAAGCTCTCTATAATTTATGGTGAAGTGAGATGTCTAGCCATAGCCTAGACTTAAGAATGGTATTAATCCGGCTCGAAATTTTTTGTAGCGTACCATCTTCTACGTGTTTTATATGTTTGTGTGCAGACTCCCCGCGTCTGCCGAGAAGCATGTGCTGCAGCAGGTTCTCTCTTTTTATGGTGCGCATCTGGTGACCAAGTACTCTGCTGTTTTTTATCGCGGTGGCTACTTTCGCGAAAACTCCCAGCAACTGGACTTGTACGAGCAGGGCATCTTGGAGCTGCTTCCCTTACTAAAAGATGAAGCCATTGCTCTGGTGGATGCTATTGCTCCCACCGACTTCATTCTAAACTCCCCCCTGGGCATGAGCGATGGAAATGTAAGTAGTCTCTTGCATCATACGCCTTTTCTTGCCAACATTTGTTTTTTTTTTGCAGGTCTACCAGCATCTTCAACGCACGATTTTGTCCACTCCGGGTGTGTACGAGCGTCCCCATTGGTGGCGGGACGTTACTTTCAAGGATTATCTTAAGCGCGCCAAATTGTAGTTTCATAGAAACCTACAGCGCTTACATTTGCGGTAGTGGAATATTAAGATTAAGTTCTTAAAATTTGTTCTGCTAAATTGAATTTTTATGTTAATGTGTTTTTCGATTGCAGTTCTTACCAGAATTATATTTTGTTGTAAAAACTATGATAATATATACCTTTGACTTTCATTGAAGAGTGTGTATTTATGGAAGGAGAGCAATCAATTCGAAGCTTCTTCGTAGTTTTAAAATTGAAATAAAATTGTTTTTTAATAACATTTATTAGTTTGAGCGGAACGGACAAAAGTACATTAAGCATTAAGCCATAACAAAACTGGTAGAGTGACGGAGTTGTTATCTTAAATACTTTGAACTTTTGCTAAGCCTAAAAACCGATATACTCGTTACTCGTAAAGTAAAAGTATATATATTCTTGATCAGGATCAATAGCCAATTCCATCTAGCCATGTCCATCTGTCCGTCTATATGAACGTCAAGGTCTCGGAAACTATAAAAGCGGTTTAGGATTTGGCACACAGATTCTACTATTTCTTAGGCAGCGCAAGTTTATTTCAAAATGGAAATAACGCCCACAAATCGCAAAAGTTTGTCATATCACTCTGAGACATGTAAGATCAAAGGTTTTTGACTTTGTGTATTTGTGTCAGCCAAATCTATCGGTAGACACAAAACATTTTTAAAATCGAGCTTTAATTTTAGAAGTAATTAGCAATTATGTTAGGTTATGACGTCATTGCATATTTGAAAAACGGAATTCATGCATCACTAGCCGAGTCGATTTATTCATGTTCATCTGTTCGTGGGCATGAAGATCGGGATCACGGAAACTGTAGAAGCTGGAGATTAAGGAATTAACCCGCAGATTGTAGTTGTGTCTACGCAGCGCAAAATTTTGCCACATCCATTTTAACACACAAATCGCCAAGCTCTCTCCATATCATCGACACCAAAAATGTATCAAATCGAACCATTATTTTAAAAGTTATTAAAAAATTCAGATTAAATTAATTATTTTCAGCGCTCTTTCGTCATAGACTTTCATAGCACTGGAAGTCTCTCGAACGGTGTTCAACACTGCTGCTGTAATTAATAATTATTGATTTTTATACTTTTGCGCTCCGATTAGTGGCAGGACGTTACTTTCAAGAAATATCTTAGCATAAACGGGAATCGTGAATGTAAGCAATTTAAATTAAAAACAGATATAACGCTATAGTCGAGTTCCCCGACTTAGATACCCGTTACTCTCTCAGAAAAAAATCGGGATTTATGTATAAGCAAAAAGCGGGCAGCAGTATGAACATCGAAATCACGGAAACTAATCAAGCTAGAGATTTAGGATTTAAGCTGCAGATCGTACCTACGCAGCGCAAAATTTGACCACATCCTCTTTAATCGCAAAAGTCTGTCGAAACACGGTAGAGAAAAATTTTTGGACGTGTAATTTTATTCGGCCTATATCATCGTCATTAAAAATGTATCAAATCTAAAAATTATTTTAAAAGTTATTAACAAATTCAGATTTAATGATTTATTTTCAGCGCTTTGACGTCATGTACATTCGTAGCACTTGAAGACTCTTGAACGATGTACAACACCGCTGCTGTAGGTTAAAACACATATTTAGCGATGTTTTTACTTTTGCAGAGTGTCCTATAGCTTCAGTCTGTAGTTTGTAACACAGTTAAGAAGACATTTCCGACCCCATAAAGTATATATGTATGCTTGATCAGCATCACTAGGAGAGTCGATCTAGCCCGTTCGTTTTAAAAACTTGAGGTAATATAACAATAAAATACAATTTTGATTTTGAAAATAGTTTTTTAGGTATGCCGATCGATATGGCCCGAATAATCATGTATTGGCAAAAAATTGGCATCTGCCATATCTCAGAATATTAACATAAATTATAAACGTTAAAATAGGCGATGCCATATTTTAATTTAAACTTGCTCTGCGTAGGCATGACTTGAATCTGCATGCAAAATCCCATGCCAATGGCTTTTATAGTTTCCTACTAAATTTAGACAGACGGACATGGCTAGATCGAATCGGCTTTTGATACTGATCAAGAGTATATAAATTTATAGGGTCGCTCCGTCTTTGCATGGTGAAAATTTAATACTGTTTTGTATTAACAACGCGAAAACTTGTGACTGCAGTAGTTCGAGAAGACGTTAATTTGCGAACTTGTGAGAAACTATTTCGAAAGCACGACGAAAGGGAGTGGCTTCGATGATGTTCGATTGATCACTGACTATTATATTTCAAAAATTTCTCTTAGAACCTAACTTATGCTACGGTGGCGAGAGACGGGGCGAATTCGCAAGAGCGAACGGACAAAAGCTTTATTGCGCCAAGTGCGCAAACACCGGCCCCTCTGAAGGGACGACGTCCTTCCACCCAGAAGGGGCAACAGGGCCAGTCGGTGGACAGCTCGCCGACATTCCCCGTCCGCGTCCTGACGTCCGCCACGCGAACCTTGCCATCGGCGCCGGCGTGCACCGATACCACTCGTCCAATCCTCCACTGCTGGGGCGGAAGGTTGTCTTCTGCGACGACGACGAGCGCTCCCACGACGAGGTTGGGCTCCGCCTGGTGCCACTTGGACCGCTGCTGGAGGCTGGAGATGTACTCCCGAGACCATCGCTGCCAAAACCTGTGCCTGAGAGACGAGAAACCTCGCCATCGTCGAAAGCAGGTCAGGCTGATCTGGTCCGGGAGCGCCGCTGATGGTGGGGCCAGACGAGGGCCGCCGATGAGCAGATGCCCGGGGGTCAGGGCCTCGCCGTCGCTCGGGTCGCTGCTTAGAGCTCCGAGGGGCCTGGAGTTGAGCACGGCCTCCACGCTGGTGAGCAGAGTTCCGAGCTCCACCGCGGTCAAGAGGTCTTGGCCGGGCTCGGAACTCTCATGTGGCGATCTGCGCCGACGAAATTGGTGACGTTGTCGCACCACACCTTCTCCGGAATACCGCGACGACTCACGAACCTTTGAAATGCAAACAAGAACGCATCAGTGGTTAGGTCAGACACTAATTCTAAGTGGTCCGCTTTGGATGCAAAACAGACGACCAAGGCCACGAATGACTTGTACGGTGGCTTACCTAGGATACAGTACGTTGTGCTGAAGGAACCATAAAAATCAACGCCACAAATATTGAACGGGCGGAGAGCTCGAAGTCTATCTGCTGGCAAGTTTCCCATAATTTGCGTCAAGAGTTGCGGCTTACAGCGAAAGCAGCGCATGCACGACCGAACTGTTCGTCGGCAGACTTCTTGAGCATTAACTAGCCAGATTTTCTCGCGCAGACGACTTACGAGAGCTCGTGGGCCAGCGTGACAGTTCGTAACGTGCAGGGATGACACATAGGATCTGACGAACTGTGAGCTTTTAGACAGCAACAACGAGAATTTGCTTTCGTACGGGATAGGAGCATTCAATAACCGACCCCCAAGTCGTAGCAATGTCGAGGAGCACCAATGTAATTAATTTTCCTGAAGAAAAGGGTTTAACTTTTGAATATTCGTTGCTACCGGTTTATTTTTCCGAATTTTACTTATGTCGTCCCTGAATTCGTGAAATTTGACAACTTCGACAATTTTATCAAAAGTGAAATCCAGTTCTATTGACGAAATACTTTTTTCAAAGGGCTTCGACACCTTTCTGCACCTTTGAATAAAACAAAAAACCCACACGAACACTCTCAGAAGCTTCAGGTGCGACGAGAAGGACTCTATTTTCTGAAGCACATAATTTGGCTCAGGGCTGACTACGAATGCTATTACCGATTTGCGTAGCTCCATCGACATTACATCAGCCGGCAGTTCGAAATGTTTATTTACAGGCCAATTATTTTCTGAGTCTAGCAAGAACGAAGGCCCACTGAACCAAATGGACGTTGTAAGCTCCTCTACGTCACATCCCCGGGACACTATGTCTGCTGGGTTAACTTTCGTGGGAACGTGTCTCCAAATTGCTTTCTCCGACCACTCCTGAATTTCTGCAACCCGGTTCGAAACAAAAACCGACAACGACGAGGGATGGGTTTTAATTCAGGGTAAAGTGATCTCGGAGTCTGTCCACAGGAAAACCTTCTCAATGGGAGAATTTAGCAATGGTCTGACACGATTATAGAGATCTGCTAAAAGGTGAACTGCACACAGCTCAAGGCGAGGCAAAGTTTTCGTCTTGAGGGGAGCTATTTTCGATTTGGCGGTCAATAAAGACACTTTCAAACCTTCAGCAGTTTGAGTCCGAACGTAGATGCACGCTCCATACGCTCGCATGGAAGCGTCAGCGAAACCATGTATTTGAATCGGGACTTGTGGATCTGTGTTGACGAATCGCGATACCTTAATTTTAGTCAGCTGCAGAAGCGTCGCTTTAAACGTCTCCCACGATGTAAGCAACTGCATCGGTAGCGACTCGTCCCAATCTAATTTTCGAAGCCACAGTTCCTGCAACAACATCTTTGCCTTTGTGACCAAAGGACACAAGAGGCCAAGTGGGTCGAAAAGTCGAGCAGTCACCGACAAAATATTTCGTTTTGTCTCGCGAAGATCCAGGAAACAGTCATCCAACCGAAATTGAAAGTAATCTTTAACCGGTAACCAAACCACGCCAAGGGTCTTGGTTACGTCTGAGTCTGCCATAAGTGGCATTACAGCGATATCGGATGCGGATAACTCTGGGCAGTTTGAAAACCACTTTGCGAATTCAAAGCCTGCCTCTTGCAAGACCTGAGAATGTTCGTCTCGAAGGCTTTGCAGGTCATCAACGCATCCGGCGCCAGTCAATAAATCGTCAACATAAAAATCATTCTGAATAACCTTTGCGGCTTTTGGATGAGTTGCTTGCCATCTCTCCTAGCCGCATTAAACACCGAATCGCCAAAAGGGGGCTGGGGAAGTTCCATATGTAACGGTGTTCAACTTAAAGATTTTCAGGGACTCAGAAGGATCTCGTCTCCATACTATGAGCTGGAAGTTACGATCAGCTTCGTCCACCATCACTTGGCTATACATCTACATACATCTTTTTGACGTCGGCCGCAAGGGCAAACTTAAACCGAAGCAGAGTCTAGTACAGCTCCTCTTGGATAGTTGGGCCTACCATCAAGATGTCATTCAACGCTACCTGCGTGGAAGTACGGCTCGATGCATCGAAAA